CGGCCGTGCAGCGCCTGCCCGGCGCTTGCCTCTCCTGGGCAAGGGAGCTGCCCTTGGGTTTCCTTCCACAGGCGCTTTCCCTCCACCTCCAGTTTACATCTCGGTGGGAGAAGCGGGGCTCGCCTGTTTGTGGGAGACGGGAGCAGCCTGCTCAGAGCTGTCGCTCCCATCTTCAGAGACTGTGACAAGTGGCATCGTCGTCCGTGCGTCTGCACATGCAGAGGAGAAGCTGTGCTGGAGCACGGGCTGCTGGGAGCACGGGCCGCTGGCTGCGCTGCTACTGTCGGGGCAATTCCTGGATGCACGGCTGGTCTGACATGATCAGGTCGCCAAGTAGTTGCCATTCACTAGTAATGTTTTCAGCGTTGAAAGTAGCTGTTTGTGAGAAAAGTGCATCTTACTTTCTCTGTGCCCTTACTTTGGAGCCTCAAAATGGCAAATATCAAGTGAAAGGCCCAACAAAACGCTGACGTACATAAGGAAGCATCATACTATGGCTTTGTAGCCCTGTCTGCTGGGGTGAGGAGCTGTAACGGTATGCTAAGACATGGTGCAATGCTGTCATGTGAGGGCAGATTAAGGAAGCCACATGCATTTCAGTTTCGTAGCTGTTAGCAAATGTGCAGGCACCTCTACTTCAGCCTTGGTGTGTATGTGGGACGTTGCAAGATTAAACACCACAGTGTCAGGAAAAGAGTAGCTAGTGCACTTGAAACCTGCTGCCCTTGTTGCAGGCTGGGTATTGTCGTTTGAAGCTTTCCCAGTGTTGAGTCTCCTTTGCGCCCCCATATTTTAATCATACCAAGACTTGCTGTTAAACTAAGCTGGTTGTGGGGTAAGATTTCCACTGTTAGGAGAGTATGTGTCTGTTTTGTGAATTGCTTTTTCATTCCCTAGTCAGTTCTTTTTTCTTCTCTAAATGTACCTGCAGATAATCCTAGTGAGGGCAAAAGCCTTTCCCTGAAGTTCTTACCTACACAAAGGTAGCTGTGCTGTGAGGAAGTGTGGACAGCCTTGTCTCCTCTCAAATGCTTTGCTTTTTCAGGGACATACCAGCCTCACCTGCTGCAGGTACCTTCTTGGAAAGGAGTAAAGTGCCATTTGGGAGGGGAGGAAGGTGCACCATGGCCTGCTGCCAGCCCTTCCTTTCCTCTCACAGGGCTCTGGTGGTGGGGTACGGTGTGGTGACAGTTCGTACTGCTGGTGCTCTGCTGAGGTGTCCTTTCTGGCTCTCTTCTGTGAGAAGTCCTGGGTGCATGCTGGCACTCTAGTGATGGATGGAGTGGGACCAATGACTGAGACATCCCAGGACCTCTTCCTCCCATCAGGATCTAGGAACAGGTACAGCACTAAATGCTGCTCTGTGTTCAGACTGAAATGCAAAACCTACTATTGCTGTTTTGCTTCTCTTCAGTATTTCAGTGGCAAGTGGCTTGCTTTCTTGTCTCAAAACAGAAGCAAGTAGGCAGACAGGAAGCTCCTTGTAAACTAATCAAGTGGCTTCTGTGGGATAAAGGGGGAAGGATGGAGCAGGGTAGAAGAATGTGTTATTTTTCTTCCTGAACATCTGGCAGGTGCTCCAAAACTACACTGGTTGGTTCATAACTCCAGTGGTTTGCAAGAAGCTGTAGCAGTGCTGAGTGTAACTTTGAACTTTTTCTTTAGGCTGTGATTTCTCTTCCATTTATTTTGCATTTCTGTTTGTGAGTGCGAGAGAGTGAGAGAAAGCAAACACACCATCTCTGAATTGTGTTCATTCAAGTCATGGCTATATGTGAATCTTGCATAAATCTACATAGAGCTGTACAAGTTGGAGTGCATAAATTATGTAATGGCATTCTTAGCACTGGTGGTCTTCTCCCACATAAAATTAATCACAAAATACTGCTGCTTCAGCACAAAATAATTATTAGGAGGTGCACGGAGTAGCAGAAGCAGGGAACATGTGTTTGCTAGGTATGAAGAGCAGCAACACAATAAGATGGGGAGGACGGTGGCTGTGTAGAGGGTGAGTCTCACTGGTGATGGCGGAAATGCTGAGTGGAAAAGGGTGGAAGGTACTGCTCAGGAGTAAGGTGCTCAGTCCTCTAAGAGAAACTTCCTGGTCCTTCTTCAGTGATCCCCTTTCTTTATGGGAAACACAGAGAATGACTGTTTGCAAAGACCTCTTCAGTGTGCACGTATTCTGAGCAGAATGAGAATGTTCTGAACAGCAAGATATATATTAGGAGTTGGCATGGTTTTCATGACGTTTGGAAGTGCACAGTAGTGCTGTATGCTGTGCAGGGTTTTGTATTTGGCACTTGTTATATCTGTGTATGTATGAATGGCTGCATACATCATTTTGGTTTTGCCCAGTATGAGTTTGAGGATTAGGCATGGAAGCTTGCAGAACTTTTATAGAAGGCAGCACTGTGTAACTTACACACATAAATATATTTAATGAAGATGTGGGAGGAAGTCTGCTCAGCTTTTTTTCCCTATCAGTTTACAGCGTGTGAAAATAAAACTCTCTTTCCAGTCTCACTGAGAGTTTTTCTTGTAAACAAGTTGAAATGTGTACTATTTTAGTACACTAAGTTTTCTGTAAAATTGGTTCTTTCTCATTGTGTATATCTTACAGTGATGCATGGAGGATTATAAATATAATTAGAGCCCAGTAGCCTAAGGCATTTGCACATGTAGCAGGAAATTATACTTTCTTGAAGAAAGACCTTGTGCTTTATTTAGATAAACAAAAGTGAGAAGGGTTACAATGAGATGACTTGGCCAAGGCCCTGCATCAGGTGAGCGAGTGGCAGAGGTTCAAGTCCTGGGCTCCAGACCAACTGCTGACTCTTGGGAGAGGCACTTCCCACTTCTCCCCCTGGAGTAACCTCTATTTACATGCCCTAATACATAAAAGAGTGTTTGTAGGGTGAATACGTGCCACTGTTTGCTGGACTCTGTATAGTGCAAGTACATCTCCTTGAAGTTCAACTGGGAATGTATTAAAGCTGTTTTCTGCAAAAGTGTATAGGAGACATACAAGACATCTAAAGATTTTCTTGGATCAGTTTCATAGTGGGGTGCACCTGTTTTACAATGTCTTACAGGTCCAGCTAAAGCATCTTGCTTTAAATTAAATAGGATATCTACCATGAACTTTACAAGGTGGCAATTTGTTCTATGTTAATAATAACAGCTTTGTGTGGTAGCCTGCATCTGTTCTGTCAGTGAAACTGGAAAATACAGGGAATAGAATAATACTTGGATTGATGAATACATGAAGAACATCTCCTCAGAGCTGAACATTGAACTGGTTATTTTATTTTGTTAATGACAAATGGTTCAGCTAATTCCCTGTTATGTATGAGTAGCTCTTCAAGCAGTGTCTAACTGTCTGTCTGGTAACTGGAAATTTAAGTATGAAAAAAGATGTATTTTAAATTAATGTATTTGTTATGGTTGGTGTGATGTTCTTTGATAAAAGAACCAGTTTCCAATTATTGCTTGCAGGGAAAAATAAATTACAGGGTTTTCCACATGGCTTTTGTATTGGGAAGAAGAATATTTCTTCTTGAGTAATTATACTTGCTGGAAATAGTAAGATCTGTAATGTCGTGTATATATAATCTGCTGAGTCTACTTTGCATCTCAATTACTAGACAGGGCAAGCTGTGTGTTTTTGAGTTGGAAACCAAAGGCCCAGCATAACAGTTGCTTTGAAACTCAGTTTTAGGAGTGTTGGGATCTTTTGCTTAGTAATTAAGTTATCTTGAAGTTTGCACGTTGTTATGCTCATTTCACTACCCAAAAAAAGGGGAGGAATGTTTTAGTCCATAAATTATTCTAACATTCTTAATTTATTCATTATTATTTAGGCATCTGAAACTCCATTAAACATTGAAGTGCTTCCTTTTAAAATAAAAATGTTAACAGTGTGTGTTAAAATGTGCTGCATTTTTTCACTGTTCATTTTTTACCTGCTGTCAGTATATTCAGTATTTTAAAGTGAACAGCTACTTTTTTTTTGTGCAAGAGTTGCGGTTTTCACTGCACAGAGGTACTGCACAGTTTGATTTCCCACATTGTGATGCTCCACCTGACATGGTGGGGTAAAAAAAATTATTGACATTTCATTGTACAGTGCAAAATGCACATTATTTCTAGTTAACATTGTGTAATTGCTATGCAATTACACTGCACTCATCCAATTTTATTAAAAACTGCCAACAAAGATGCAGTGTTCGTTATCCCTGGCCCTGCAAAGGTGACTGTCATTACTTTGCAGGCTTCAGTAAGGCAGAAGTCCCCCACTTGTTCCAGTGGCTTTATCGAAGCTCTGCAGATGTCCCAGAAAAAAGGCTTTGAGAACTGGATGTTTAAAAGCTTCTTTTCCTTTCTTCCCTCAAAACTGTTTTGAACCTAAATAAAGTTTTTGCAGAGGTGAAGTCATACTTTATTTTCTAATGAAAAGCAGATGAGTGGCATTAGAAAAAAAGGAAGAAAGAAAGGAAAAAGCTGAAGATAGTCAAAGAAAGGATTAAATGAACAAAACGCTGTTGAATACTTAAAACAACTCAGCAATTTATGCCAGTGAGGAATGCGCATTGCATATTCACTGCAAAATAGTTGCACTGTCAACATCTACAATGAAAGCCTAGTTTAAAAGAGGACCTTTTAGGGTAGCGTTTCCCCTTGATTAACAGAACATTTATGCTGTTTCTGTTGTCTTATAGAGAGATTAAGGAAAAAAAACCCACCCTAGTAGTTGTTTGAGATGGGTCTCTGTAATAATTTGAACAATACAAATTAACAGCTGCTTCAAAAAGATCTGGCAAGGAAATATTGCAAAGGGCAGAAAAAACCCCGCCGTTCAACACACTGTTTTTAGCCTTCTGTGGGTGGGTTGATGAGTTTTTTTGGCAGTTTAACTGAGCTGTTATCACGAGTTGTACATCTGTTTGTTTGCATCTTTTGCTTTTAATTATTGTGTGACATTAAAGTTTGTGTAGTTACTGTTTATAGTTTTTAGGCTTGATAGTAAACATTGTGTGATGAGCTTCTGTAAAATACTGCTTCCACTCAGAGAAAAAATTCTCAAAAAGCTTGTGCCTAGTTTGAAGGGCTTGTTTTTTGTTTTGTTTTGGTTTTAACGTGTTTCATTATGGTATGATTTAAGGCAGTTAATAATAAGCATGATATTATGTCAGTAATTTACAGTGTTGAACATTTGTCTGGACAGCTGCATGGAAAGGAACTAATCTTACTTCCCTAAAATAACATTAAATCAGGTTTCATTTGACAATCTCTCTATCATTGCTTCTTGAATTTTCTTTGGCAATAATTTCATTCTCTGACAGATTTTTCTGTGACAGTTTTTCTGTACTTGCCTTAACTGCAAAAAACTTTCATGGCAACATTGCCTCTCCCACAGAGCAAATGTGGATAGCTTATTTGGCATTGGTTTTCTGTAGCTTGAGACGATAACTGAAAGTGTGGTTTCACATTATCTCACAGATGTCCAAAGTCCCCACACCAGAGCAATCCTTGGTTCGCAGGTGTCACTCAATCACTGAGCTCTCTTTCTAGTCATTAAAATTTAAGAGGGCCTGTAGGTCTGGATAACAAACAAAAGTAAAACTGGCTCAATGCCTGTGACATTGTAAAAGACAGTTTCTGCTGTAAAATAACATCAGCCTTTCTTCAGTTCTCTGCCAATCATATTACTCGTAGAAAACATGATAGAAAAATAACATAAAATTCACCATAAATCCATCCAGATTGCATTTTACGAGACTTTGAAAAAAATAAATTGTTTTAATCTTCCTTCAGTTTCACGTAGAAACCTCCCTGATGCTACATCATAACTAGATGGGGTGACAGGCAGCCTGCACCCACACACTGCGTGTGGGGAGCCAGGGAATTCAGGCAATGCAGGTTGTCCCCTTTCCAAGGGAAGTACGTGCAAGTGGTTTTGCTGGGCACTTACAGGTCGATTTCTGCATCATCCTGATGGCTCTGACTGCTGAAAATGGCACTCACAGGCCTTGGTAGCTGCCAGACCACCCCAGGCGCAGGCAGAGGCTGTGGCACCTGGGGCCAGGAGCCCAGCTGGATAAAGACTTAAGCCTTAGGGATGGTAAAAACATAATGAGGTGCTCAGCAAACTGCAGGCAGCGGTTTTCCTGGTGCTCAAGTTGCTGAATATTGAAAGTAGTTTGGAAGAACAAATTATGATCAGTCCACAAAACTGTCAGACTTAGGATCTGTCAAGCTGAGATCCTTTCTGCTTCTCCTGGGTGCTTATTCCTTAGAAACATTCCTTCATTTGGAAACATAAAGGAAAATGAAATGAGTTCCTGAAATAGATTGCATTAAATACGTTCAGATTCAGTTTTGAAAAATGACACAGTAGTGCTGGATATATTAATGTCACCATTTTGCCTACTAAGGTTGTTTCAGTCCTAAATATTAATGCAGCAGTTGGCATACTTTCCTCACTGAGGTCTTGGCACTGCAAATTCAAGAGTATCTTGTTACAGCCCAGTGCACAGATACCTTTGAACTGTAGAAAAGCACACTTTCCTTTGATTAGGTCTGCTCTTAAGGATAGTTAGAAGAACTTGAGTATCAAAATAACTTAAGATCGTTTGGATATGCAGAAGAAAATCCCCTGTCTTTGGGTAGCTAGAATTGGGACTTCGAACTTCTGAATTATTTGAGATATGATTACCCAAGTCACAACCTCTTCCTTCATGGTCACCTCTTTTCACCTGTAGCCTATTGGCAGTGTTTCACACTTGGGGAGAGTAAATAAACGTTCAGGGTTAAGGAGCTGGTTGTGTTGGCAGCATCACTGTCTTTGGCATCTGTTGCTTTTGTGGCCAAGCCTTGCTTTGGACAGCTTTCTTCAACAGTGCAGTTAGTTTGCTTATTTCAGTATTTAGTTAACCCTGCTTGGGTTGTCATGAGCTTGGTTTTAGTTGCATGATTCATTGTTCCCAGTATAGCTGAAAAAGCAGTGATGAACATGTTAGATAACCCATTTATGTTTAAATAATTAAAACTGTCTCAGTGGCAGAATCTGTGCATGTTGATGTACCAGTACATGTTCTAATATTTCCTCGATGCAGGAGCTTGAACAAAAAGGAATTAGCCAGAGTTTGTGTGTGTGTTTTTCCAAGCACAGTTTGCTTACCAGAACTGTGTTAGTTTCTTTATTTGGGCTGTTATTCTATTTCTAGAAAATTGCTAGAAAATGAAGTCTATCTGTGCGGTAGATAAAAAAAAAACAAGCAAAGCAACAACAAAACCCTTCCACAGCCCCACCCAACCATCAAATCAAACAAAAAAAAGCAACTTATAATTAATACTGTTACTTTGTATTGCTTTTGAAATAAGCTTCAGCGAGTTCCTATGTTTCATGGTGTTGATCGGGTACCCCTCTGCTTTGATTTCAGGCTGAGGAATCCTGTAAGTGCAATGGCTGGAAGAACCCCAACCCGCCTCCCACGCCGCCGCGGGCCGAGCTGCAGCAGGCGGGGGTCAGCCTGGCCGAGCCCTGCCGCAGCTGCAACCACGCGCTGGGTAAGCTGCTGCTTTCCTTCTTGCAGGCCTCCTTGGCCCAGAACCCTCCTCTCTTGAGAGACGGAAGTCAAGGGTTCGTGCTGAGACCTGGAAATTAGGGTTATGATCAGACATAAAGGTCAACGACTTAGATTAAAGTGGGTTACAAATATCCTACAGAGAGTTTTGAAGAAATTAAACTGAGGAGCAACTTGTAATAACCCAGACATTCTAAGCTGTTAAAATGCCAAAGGACTTTTAAGCTTCCTATTACAATTTTACTACTTTGTGTAACATATGCATTAACCTCACATTATTTTATCTGTCAGCTGCCCTAGTTATTGTGTGAATGACTGGAGTGCCTCTCCTATGAAAACAGGCTGAGAGAATTGGGGCTTTTCAGCCTGGAGAAGCGAAGGCTCCAGGGAGACCCAAGAGCAGCCTGATGGGCCCTACAGGAGAGCTGGAGAGAGGCTTTTTGTAAGGGCATGTAGAGGTAGGATGACGGGGAACAGCTTTACACTGGAAGAGGGTAAATTGAGATTAGATATTAGGAAGAAATTTTTCAGTGTGAGTGTGGTGAGACTCTGGAACATGTTGCCAATGGAAGTTGTGGATGCCCCTTCTCTGGAACTGTTCAAGGCCAGGTTGGATGGGGCTTTGAGCAGCCTGATCCAGTGGGAGGTGGAAGTAGATGAACTCTACGGTCCCTTCCAACCCAAAATGTTCTATGATTCTATGACTGTCTTGTAGGCTGTATTACATGTTCTTGCTACAGAATAAACTGTAACATTTTCTTGAACAATGCTAATGCAGGTACTTTTTCCTGCAAAAAAACCCATGCCTTTTCCATGCCACAGAAAATAACACTGAGGTTGTACATCTTAGCATTGCCTAAGTTATTGTGCATATAGTTTGCATATCTTTGAAGCAAATGCTCAAAACCCACTGTTAAATACTGTTATGAGGTGTTTTGGGTTGTTTTTTCGACTAAGAAATAATTGTTACAGGCATAGCCTGAAAATACTGATGAATCACTATTGTTTTTTTAGGAATTTGTACTTATCCAAAATAAAACTGATGACTTTTCCATATGCATTAGGAAATACTGAAAAAAAAGTTACAATGAAATAAAATTCAGGACTAATTGAAAAGAAGCAGTTGCTGTGTCAATTTTGTTGATGTACAAAAGTTAGGATAGTGAAAGAAGAGAAAGGAAATCTAAAATCTTCATGGTGATTCATGGTTTTTTTTTGCTTTTGCAAATAATAGTATATTTTGAGAGAACTACTTTAAAAAAAAATAAATATTAAATTGGGATTTATTTCTGTATCTACTTGCTTTTCTTCATATGCTCTCCTTACAGCTGACCTATTTCTGGACTTTTCAGCAAATGTCTTTCCTTTCCTGGTATGCCAAACCTCTGGATTTGGTTGCAGGAGAACATTAACAAATGCATAGTATCAAAGAAAGTTTGGGTGCTTTACCCAAGTTAGTCAAGTTAGCTTTGGCTTTTTATCACACAGCTTCTCCATGCTGCTTTTGGGTACGCAGTTAGGGTAGCTTGTGTTACCTGACCCTTTCATTCCAGGCCTTTGAAGAAAAAGGATTTATTTTTTTTAATCTTATGAGATGTTGTGTATGTCAGTTCCCAGTTCTTAAGCAGAGTTTGTGGATGCTGTGTATTTTGTAGGAAAATTCAGCTTTTCTGAAGGCTGAGGCTCTATTAAAAAATCTTAAATTTCTAATTAGATAGGGAACCAGGGAAAGCCAGTATTGTAAAACCAGTACAAGTGAAATGTACCTTATGCAACAAACAGTGTTTTTAGTGGTTGCTGTTTTAGAAAAGGTGATGTTTCTTGTTCTGTGGGCTAATGAGCATGATGTTTCATTTGAAATAACTCAAATTAGTTGCTGGCTGCTTCCTCATACCACTGGCAAAAATGTCTTTCAGTGGTGTTTTCCAAGATAATTTTCCTATTCATCTCCTCTAAATTAGTGTGCTCCCCCTGAATGCCTTTAAAACCAGGCTGACCACAATGTTTGTAGGCTGCGTTTGTAGGCATCTGTGCTGCGTTTTCTCTTCCTCAGAGAGCCATTGAAATAGCAATGTAGAAATTCCTATACATGTTAAAGCCATACCTGGTGTAATATGTAGGATGTTTGGGGTTTTTTGCCTTTTAAAAAACTTACTATTTTCCTTCAAAGGTAATCCATGACATTTGTCTTGCTTGAGGCATCTCTTTTGGGGGATATGGTTTAATGTTCAAGCCGGTGCAGGTTTTTTTGTGTGTAAGTCTATTTGATAGTGTGTATTAACCTGTTGAGTTTATTTCTATTTATTATTCTACAACTTGTATTTTTTTTGTGACTCAGTCCCACAGCTTGGCTCAATACTGGGTTTTTAATGAATATTTATTTTATTTGAGTGATGTATTAGGTCACTACCATAACACTGTGAAGTGGTGGCTGAAGTGGGTGCCAGGAGAATGAATTCTCCACTAGGTTCAAGACCGGGTGTTATGTAGTCAGAGGCTCTTTTTTTTTTCTTTTATATTTGATTGGTTTCTCCTGTGTTACAGGCTGCATTTTCCTGTCGGTAATAATTTTTGGCCTTGAGTGACTTTTAAAACTGGTTAATTAGTGTGTTTATATACTATATGCACACTTAGTCTCCCTTTCTTTCCCAGCACTGTCTTCAGTTCCTGCTATGCATGTTCATGTAGCATATTTGGGTATTTCTTACATGAGTTCTGATAGGAGTTTGCCCTTCCTATATACAAGTGTTTTTACATACACACTGATTTTGAGGTCAACTACGGACACTTTCCTCATTAGTCTGTTTTCTAGTTGCTCCTGATAAGTGCAGTCAACTACTTCCCTATTGAAGATGCACAACTAAAATAATTAACTTGATATTTTTCGGGTCTTTGTATTAGTGCATTGGCTTTGCTCTTTTTGATTGCTTTCCTCTTACACAGCAGCAACCTATACTTGTGGGTTTTTTATTATTTTTATTTATTATTTATTTTTTGCAAGCATAATAGCAGCTGAGGGAGAGTTTACCAGTTGATCAGTGCAGGTGAACAGGACTGTGTCTGGTCTAGTAGTGACCACAAGAATTTGGGACTGGGATGTGAACATCTGAAAAAAGATAGTTTGTTGGCCTGAAGTACAAACACTGGTGACTCTACAGTAGATGGTAACTGGTAGTAAATACATTCTGGTAATACACTTATGTTACTTTCAGACTCACCTTATGCTAATAATTCTCTAGTTTAATAATTTGTTCAAATATGGCCACAAGGTAGTCAATGTCATTTTCAGTATTGTTATGGAAACTGCCTAGAAATGGCTTCTTATGCTGATGTTTTATTCATTTGTTAGTTGAGTGCAAGGTTTCTTCAATATGTTATCAACGCCTAATGGAGTGCTCATCTAAGAGGGTATTTGTTACTTTTGCAAGATCAGAACAGGCAGCTGGAAATACTCAACTTTTATGTCTGGCTCAAGGACAAAAATGAAATAGTTTTATTCTGCCCAGAAAGCTGATAGTTGTCCTTAAAAAAAGCTCATGATGGCCATGTGAAACTGCACAAATTTATTGAATTTATACATTTTGGCAGGTGTCATACCAGATTTCCCAAAGCAAACCATGTGTGCCAGGTGGCCAATAAATACGATAATTTTCAAGTCAAGTATTATTTTTTTTCCACTTCCTCCTTCTCTAAGAAATCAGATTTATGTTGAAAATGTCTTACTAGTCCTAATCACAATGGCACATCTGAAATAATACAATCATAGAATTGTTTTAGTTGGAAAAGACTTTCCAGATCATCGAGTCCAACTATTAACTGAACTCTACCGAGTCTGGTGCTAAACCATGTCCCTAATCACCACATCTACATGTCATTTAAACATCTCCAGGGATAGTGATTCAGCCACCTCTCTGGGCAGCCTGTTTCAGTGTTTGATAATGATAATCTAAGAAGTACGTAATGAGAAAAGCTATTCAAATATAGAAAATCTAATATGCCCAACCTTTCATATAATTTTCCTTTTCTGTTGAAGGATATTTTCTTGTCCTTTCAGAGGAAAGGATATGCATACCATGTACATTGGCCTGGAGTCAGTGAAGATCGTTACTTTTTTGTGATGCAAATAGATTCTTTCTGGGAAGAGACTTTCTATTCTAAATTGCCTTCTCCCTTCCTTTGAAGAACTGGCCCCACAGTTGTTCAAACCAACTTGAACTGGATGTCACCCTTCATGCATACAAACCTCAAGCTTTTGAAAATTGTAAATGTGGAACTGTATTTACCTTTGGAGATGATAAAAGGAAGATTGTCACTTGGCTATTAAGATACTTGAAGATGCTTTTTTATAAACTTCTGAACAAATGAGCATATTCAACCTGCAAAAGCTTTGTTTGTAATGGTGTGTCTAGTTTTACCTTATGTGATATGAAAGTAAGAGACTTAGCCAATAATTTCCAGTTTAAAACAAAGAACGTATTTACAGACCTTATTTTTTTTTTCTTATACTCTTCACAGAATAGGGTGCTATTTGCATCAACACCTGGATTACCTCATTTGTGTGAATTATGAATTTATTTTTCTCAGTCAGGAAACTTTGTCTCAAAAGCGTAGCTCTTGGACAAAAATGCATGTATTTATTTATACTGCAAAATATAATACAGATGGTACTTGTGAGTTCTGCTTGTATGTTAATAGATGATTCCAACCAGCCATCTTTCCTCTGCTGTGGGAATTACCACCCCTAGACTATTACAAATTGCTCCAATGTAACACATAATTCAGTTACCTCTAATGATGTTCTCTTTAAGTAGGTTATTAGAGGCTCACTCTCTTTACCGTTGGGAATACTTGTGTTATTGTGGTTTTTTTCAATAGGTTTGAATTTTTATTTTGTTTAGCTGCTCATGTTTCTCACCTGGAGAATGTGTCTGAAGAGGAAATGAATAGGCTTCTGGGGATTGTGTTGGATGTGGAGTATCTGTTCACCTGTGTCCACAAAGAAGAAGATGCAGACACCAAGCAAGTTTATTTCTACCTGTTCAAAGTAAGCTGAACTTACGTAGTAACTTCTGAGGTTTTTCACTCCCTCACACATAAGCTAATCTCACTGCCCCTCATGTATCTATTGACTTCATCTGGTGGGACACTTTCTGTCTAGTGTGATGCTCTGGTGGCTAACTGTGGGCTAGACATTTTGGTATTTGCAGTGTACTTTATCTTACTCCAAAAGTCATCCAGATGACTGAGGGGCTGAACTTGAGTTCCCGTCTATAAACTGTGCATCCTGCAAGCCTCACCCTCTTCACTTACACATCAGGAAAAACTCAGTTGATTTAAATGCCAACTCACCTGCCTACATTTGCTCAGAGAAGCCTCTTACACACATTTCAAAGAAACTGAATTAACAATGAAGTTTAGTAGCTATATATTCAGACAACTAAACAAGCAGATCTATAACCAGGAGATTTTCAGCACTGCTTGCAGTGTGTTGTGCACATCTGAATTCTTGACCCTATGCATGCAAATATGCTAATTTTAAAAACATTGTATATTTTTTAACAGCTTTTGAGGAAGTGCATTTTACAGATGGGAAAACCTGTAGTAGAAGGCTCTTTGGAAAGTCCCCCCTTTGAGAAACCTAGCATTGAACAGGTAAACAGTTCAAATGTGGATTTGGTTGGTGTGGGGTTTTTTTTTTAATTTGGTGGGGGTTTTGGGGTTTTGTTTGTTTGTTTTGGTTTTCATTGTTTGGTTTGTTCTTTTTTTGTAACTGTAGGCACTGGTTTTGAAAACATGGCATTATAGACAATGTGCAAATGTTTGTATATTACTTAGGGCAAAGTAGGATACTGCTGCTGCTTCTGCTTTAGTGTTGGTACAATAGTTAGATTATTTGATTTTTCTCATCATTCATCTTATGCTTTAATGAGACTGACTTTTTTGTGGTTTTAGGGAATGAACTTTAAATACTACTTTTATGTGTGGCAGTTCTAATCTTTCTTTGTTTCAAATGATGAAAAATCCTGTTGACGTTTTGAAATCCAATATTAAAATGACGCTTGTCTTCTGTAAGGCAATGAAAATGTTACAATCCAATTCAGTGAGATCATAGGTTTTTCTTTTAAAGGGTACACAACAAAAACCAAAGATAACTGAGGCTTTTGTTACTCTTAGAGGATACAGAACAGTTTCAAGTTCTGGTTAAGCAAGCTCCTGGAGAATGCACTTTTGGCACGCAAGTGAGCCCATTAGCTCCAGTGAGACTATGCAGAGGCTCACATACCTTGCTGAAACAGGAGCTCAATGTGTTCCCATCAATAGGTGAATTGATGCTCTATTGCTAAACATGAAATTATAAACATGAAGGCTGTTATGTGTAGTAATTATTTTCATGCAACTCTCACTTCTTAAAATTTAGGAAAATCAAAACACAGTATTGCTGAATTTCTGGGAAGTTCATCTTAAGTTCTCCTTTAGTTTAGGTATAAACAAAGAACAAGAGTATGCAATCTATATCATAGAATCATAGAATCTTAGGGGCTGGAAAGGACCTCGAGAGATCATCTAGTCCAACCCCCCTGCCAGAGCAGGGTCACCTAGAGTACATCACACAGGAACTCATCCAGGTGGGTTTTGAATGTCTCCAGTGAGGGAGACTCCACAACCTCCCTGGGCAGCCTGTTCCAGTGCTCTGTCACTCTTACAGTAAAAAATTTTTTTTTCGGATATTCACCTTGAACCTCCTATGCTCCAATTTACACCCATTACCCCTTGTCCTATCACTGGTCATCACTGAGAAAAGCCTAACTCCGTCCCCCTGACACTCACCCCTTACATATTTGTAAACATTGATGAGGTCACCCCTCAGTCTCCTTTTCTCCAAGCTAAAGAGACCCAGCTCCCTCAGCCTTTCCTCATAAGGGAGATGTTCCACTCCCCTAATCATCTTCGTAGCTCTGCGCTGGACTCTTTCGAGCAGTTCCCTGTCCTTTTTGAACTGAGGGGCCCAGAACTGGACACAATACTCCAGATGTGGCCTCACCAATGCAGAATAGAGGGGGAGGAGAACCTCTCTTGACCTACTAACCACACCCTTTCTAATGCACCCCAGGATGCCATTGGCCTTCTTGGCCACAAGGGCACATTGCTGGCTCATGGTCATCCTCCTGTCTACCAGGACCCCCAGGTCTCTTTCACCTACACTACTCTCCAGCAGTTCAGCCCCCAACCTGTACTGGGACATGGTGTTGTTCTTCCCCAAATGTAAAACTCTGCACTTCCCCTTGTTGAATTTCATCATGTTTCTCCCCGCCCAACTCTCCAACCTATCTAAGTCTCTCTGAATGGCAGCACAGCCTTCTGGTGTGTCAGCCACTCCTCCCAGCTTAGTGTCATCAGCAAACTTGCTGAGGGTACATTCTATACCCTCATCCAGGTCGTTGATGAAGATGTTGAACAACACCGGTCCCAGTACCGACCCCTGTGGGACTCCACTAGTCACACACCTCCAACCAGATTCTGCCCCATTGACTACAACTCTCTGACTCCTTCCTTTCAACCAGTTCCTAATCCACCTCACTTCCTGGTCACCAAACCCATACCTGATCAACTTTTCTACAAGGATGCTGTGGGAGACGGTGTCAAATGCTTTACTGAAATCAAGATAAACCACATCTACCGCTCTACCATCATCTATCCACCTAGTAATTTCCTCATAGAAGGCTATGAGGTTAGTCAAACATGATTTACCCTTGATAAAACCATGTTGACTGCTCTTGATGACCCCCATGTCCTTGATGTGCCTGGAGATAGTGACAAGAACAAGTTGTTCCATCACCTTTCCAGGGATGGAGGTGAGGCTGACCGGTCTATAGTTACCCGGGTCCTCCTTCTTGCCCTTCTTGTAGACTGGAGTGACATTTGCTATCCTCCAGTCCTCAGGCACCTCACCTGTTGCCCATGACTTACTGAAGATGATGGAGAGTGGCCTAGCAATGACCTCCGCCAGCTCCCTCAGCACCCTTGGGTGCATTCCATCTGGACCCATTGATTTATGGATGTCCAGATTACTCAACTGATCCCTAACCCAATCCTCATCTACCATGTCAAACTCTTCCTCTATCTTGACTTCTTCTGGGGCTATATGAATCTGGGGCTCATAGGGAGACCCTGCAGGAGTGAAGACAGAGGCAAAGAAGGCATTCAGCACCTCTGCCTTCTTTATATCCTCTGTCACCAGGGCTCCCACCTCATTCCTCAATGGGCCAATATTGCCTCTACTGCTAGTTTTGCTAGCTATGTATTTGAAAAAGCCCTTTCTATTATCCTTAACCTGACTTGCAAGGTTAAGTTCCAAGGAGGCCTTAGCTTTCCTAATTGCCTCCCTACATCCTCTGACAACAGTCCTATATTCCTCCCACGTGACCAGCCCCTCCTTCCATGATCTGTAGATTTTCCTTTTCCACTTAAGTTTGCCCAGTAGTTCCTTCTTTAACCATGCAGGTCTCCTAGCACCCTTACTAGATTTCCTAACCATTGGGACGCTCTGATCCTGTGCTTGCAAGAAGTGGTCCTTGAATGTTGACCAGCTATCTTGAGCTCCTTTATCTTCTAGCACCCTGTCCCATGGGATTTCCCTTAATAGATGATTGAGGAGACCAAAGTTTGCCCTGTGGAAGTCCAGGGTTCTGGTCCTGCTGGGTATTTTGTTCCTTCCACACAGGATCCTGAACTCCACCATCTCATGATCACTGCAGCCAAGGCTGCCATTGACCACCACTGCTTCAACAAGGCCCTCCTTGCTGGTTAGTACAAGATCCAGCAGCGCTCCTCTTCTAGTCGGCTTGTCCACCATTTGCATTAAGAAGTTATCATCAATGCACTGGAGGAACCTCCTAGACTGTGAAAGGCTGGCTGTGTGAGTCTTCCAGCAGATATCAGAGTAGTTGAAATCTCCCATGCGGACCAGGGACTGTAGTTGTGAGGCTGCTTTCAGTTGCCTGTAGAAAGCCTCATCAACCTCCTCACCTTGATCAGGAGGTCTGTAGTAGACCCCCACAACTGTGTCACCCGCACCTGCTTGCCCCTTAATTCTTACCCACAGACTTTCAACTTGCCCCTCATCAGCCCCTGCACGAAACTCAATACATTCTAGTTGCTCTCTCACATAAAGAGCAACTCCACCACCTCGCTTCCCTGCCCTATCTTTCCTAAAAAGCACATATCCATCCATGGCCACATTCCAGTCATGTGACCTGTCCCACCATGTCTCTGTTATTGCTACTAGATCATAACCCTTAGCCCGCACACAGACCTCTAACTCCTCCTGCTTGTTCCCCATGCTGCGTGCATTAGCACATATGCTGCGTGCATATACACTCCTAAGCCTTAAGATATAATATTAAAAGGTTTCATACAATATCTTTTTTGTCACATTTTTCATATTGTTCCATTTGCTTAAGAAAATAAAGTCTAGAGATGGGAAGGTAATTATTCTTGTAGTTTATTTTGAAGTAATTTTCCATTAAAATAGACTGATGTTTTCAATTCTGTTTTTAGCAGTTCAGCAACTCAATCACACAAAATTATTTGCTAAGCAGCTGTTTTAGAATTGATTTATAATGTGTATGTATTGCAGGACTTCTATGCATACATTTTAACTTACCTTCAATACTTTTTTTTTAAGTGGACAGTATACAAAGTGCAATGAGGGGACAGACTTGTGAAATACACTGTCACCTGGAGAAACAACATGATGTGTAGACATGAACATAACTAGGAAGCTTAACAAGCCCTTGTCTACTATTGAAAAGTGGCGGGAGAGGTTTATAGGTAATACTTGATTGACAGAGGAAATAAATACAGCATGGTTATCAGCAAAATTATGCATATGTGAGCATGTTGAAGAAAGTCTACTGGATCTTTGTTTTTTTACATTTAGAAGCAAGGAAAAACAAAGACTTTTCTTCTCTCCCTGTAAGACAACTGCTGGAAGTAGATAGAGTAAAAACATCTGGATGAACCTGCTCTGTCACAGGAAAACCAGCTTGTGGCAGCTACATAAGTAGCTGAGCAAGGAGCTGATGTTCTCTGGTACTGGTTTTATTTCCCATGTAATGCAAGTTCAGGGTTAATAAAGTGAGAAATGTTCAAGGACACTCCTACAAAAAATTATGGCTAAATTAAACTTAATTTTCTTCTGTTAAAAGGGTGTGAATAATTTTGTGCAGTACAAATTTAGCCACTTACCCTCAAAGGAAAGGCAAACGATAGTGGAACTGGCTAAAATGTTTCTGAACCGCATTAACTACTGGCATCTGGAGACACCTTCTCAGCGAAGACTAAGATCACCTAATGATGATATTGCAGGATATAAAGTGAATTACACCAGGTAATACTGTTTTTGCTTGTTACAATAATGGCATGTACGTACTTCAGGAATACACCAGTACCTGTGTACCATGACTGCACCTTGTAAATTTTTGCAGTCATGCATTTCACCAGAAAACCCGACAATTTTAGTGAAGCTCTCGGTTTCACGCACTTCCATATATTTTGAGGGGTGTGCTTTATCAGCCAAGAATGTACAGAAGGGGCCTGTGAAAAACTGTATCGGACAACTCTCTTTTCAACTCCTGTGTTTGCAAAGTAGCTCTCAATCTGATTAAGATATGAGCCTCATGGAAGGTTCTTAGTTCATGTACTAAAAATTCAGGCAAGTTGTCATTCAAGTTTTTTGAAAAAAAAGGGATCATAGATGTTCTCTGGTACTGGTTTTATTTCATCATAGAATTTAATCATATTTAATCTATTTAATCATAGAATGGTTTGGGTTGGAAGGGACCTTAAAGATCATCTAGTTCCAACCCCCCTGCCTTGGGAAGGGACACCTCCCACTAGACCAGGGTGCTCAAAGCCCCATCCCATCTGGCCTTGAACACCTCCAGAGAGGGGGCTTCCACAACCTCCCTGGGCAACTGATTCCAGTGGCTCACCACCCTCACAGGGAAGAATTTCTTCCTAATATATAATCTAAATCTACCCTATTTCAGTTTGAAACATTAAGCATTAAGATAACATTAAGCGTTAAGGTAACATTAAGCATTGCAAAGCATCACAGCTTGAAACCAAATCAAGGAAGATTTGAAAACTGAAAATTTTTAAGAGCTTTAATGCTAAGTGGTGAATAAATGCTATTAGTTTGCTTAAAGTGATAGTTCTTGTTTTGACCTTTTAATACATTGTCAAAATTCAAAGGAATAACTTAGTCACTGGGAGGAGAAGAGTCAGGATAAAAAGCTGGCTCTCTTAATTTTGCCTTTCTCATAACAATAGAGCAACACGTTTTTCAGTCAGCACATCAACAGCAGTTAAGGTTCCTGCCAGTGCAGGCAGCAGTTAACGGTCTGTTAGTGCGGGCAGCAGTTGGCCAATGTCTCTGGCAGCCCACCTGTCCCCCATACTGCCACAGACAGTATTCCTGGCTGAGGATGAGCACTGCCTCCTGCCCACTTTTGTGGTGGCCTGTCTTCTGACAAACCTCAGCTCCATGAAGGGGAATGGCAAACCCTGGTGTGAGTTGAGACTGTGGTGGGTGATACAGCAGACTGTGCTGTTGCTGTGTCCAGCTGTGATGCCGTCAAGTGGCCTGTCGCCTCAAATAACTATGTGGTGTGAAGGACAATTAGTGGTAATCCATGGGGCTCCTAAGACCAGGTTTGGTGAGTCTTTGCCCTCCATTTGTTTGTGATACAGACATCAGACAGGCCAGATTGGTTGGAGTAAACTTTTATTAGGAATCAATACCTAGCACTGGCTCTGGTTGGTGACTTTTGTTCTTAACAGTTTTTTTCATTTGTGGTTTCTGAAACATTCTTGCCCTCAGTCCCTAAGGATCCCTCTGATGCAAAGTGTTGACTCTTTCCACCTAATCCAACTTATCAGAGTGAGCTTCTGCCATGTTCAAGGCACTGCTCGGGGTGCAGGGGAAGCTGCTATATGCCGTGGGTGCACCTCGTGAATTCTTGTAGTCACTGACTTAATTTGAAAACCTGATGATTTTAGTGAAACCATTATCTGAGTTTCACACACATCCTTGTGCTCTGAGAGGTGTGCTTTATCAGCCAACAACAGGGAGTAGAGGGGCTGTGAACAACTGTATATCAGAACTCCTTTGCAACTCTTTTGTTTGCAAAGATTATGATGCAACAGTTTGGGAGTGTGTTTTGAGACAGGCTGTACCTTGGATCTGGATGAGAAAATGCATGTAGGATCCAAAACCGCTGTTTGCATCCAATTCTTAACATTTTCTTTTCATTGTTGGAGCTTTCATAATAGTCGTGGTCTGATTCTGCTGGAGTGAGAGATACCATTGACAGTTCACTTATATGCAGATACCAAAATCTTGTTTATAAAATTAAAAGTTATTGTGACCTACATAGTCAGGGTACTCCTGATTTATCTCTTGAGTATCACTGTCCCCTTTCCAAGGAAATTAAATACAACATTATGTATTTTCACCTATACTTCTTAATGCAAATCTTATTATGAAGGGAATTACTAGTAATGAAAGTATCAAAATCGGGGTGTAATGGGAAGAAGCCAGCTGGTGGGACACCAGGTGAGAGTCCGGTTCGATTGGGATGGGGCTAGTTAAAAGTGTTGCTCCCTTTGTGTCTGTGTGGCGAAATGTAAGAGTTTAAAGAAGGGAAAGTGGACCAGGTTAAGGGTTTTTGGAGTCTCAGGCAGGAGACTTGGGAAGCTAAATGAATGAGCTGTGGAGAGAATCCCTGACATCAACATGAATTTTATGTGATCTATGATTATTATCTGGAACAAGGGCACTTTATGGAAATTACAACTGCTGAGAAAAAGAATATATGGAGCCTTAAAAGTACCTGGCTGTCATTTCTTTAAAAAACTGGGCAATATAAATGCTGCTTAACTCTGTCCAGACATGGTGTGGAACTGATTAATATGGTCGTATAGCTCTCAGCAGCATTATAAATGATGTGGGTAATGGTTTTACTGCATTAATTCATGTTAGATGGTGATAATAATGTGGGTTTTTTTCCCCTTTACAGGTGGCTTTGTTATTGCAATGTCCCTCAGTTCTGTGACAGTCTACCTCGGTATGAAACCACCCAGGTGTTTGGTAGGACGTTGCTTCGCTCTGTTTTTACTGTGATGAGAAGGCAACTGCTGGAGCAGGCCAGGCAAGAAAAAGACAAGCTTCCTCAAGAGAAACGAACACTAATCCTCACCCATTTTCCAAAGTAAGAGGTGCCTGCATTCAAAGTTAACCACTAGTATGCAACTTTGACATGGAAATGGAAAAATTACCTGCTACTTAAAATAATTTCTCGTTTTGTTCAGTAACAAGTAGATACTGCAGATTTCTTTCCTGCCATAGCTTGAACTAGGGTATTTCATGTACGCAACTCTTTGGCTTTGTCCTAGGGCTTTACTTTACAAAAAGGTTTATTGCTAGGGGATTGTGCTTGTTGCTTATTAGCAGGTACTTACTTTCTGTTTCTGCAGTCGTTAGAAGCAACATAAGTCTAGATCTCCAGAGACATATGCTTACTTCTGTACTGGAGTTTATATACACCTGAGAATTTCAGTTTAATTCAACATTGTAACAGAAAGCATAGTCAGCCCACACCCTGAAGACATGCATTCATTTGACAAAGAAGGGAGTATAAATCTGCATCAGTGAATCCTAGACTCATTAATTTTATATTGACCACCTGTTCCAGTACTGGAATATTGATGACAGTCTCTCACAGTTAAACAACAATAATTACATATTGGGGTGTGTGGGAGAATGCCTTATCTCTAAACATGCTCAACTTTGACAGCTTTTAATTTCAAACATTTTATGAGTGGTTAAGGGTGGTGGTGACAGAATCATTCATTGTATACTTCCTGTTAAAATAAAGTATCACTTAAAAAATATATTTATTTTGTGAGGGTGGCTTGGCTCTCTAGCCCATATTTTAGAAGTCTGTCCATCATAACAACAAAGGAACTGAACCCACAGAAGAGCTGGTTGCACCATTGCTGTGCAAGCTGCTGTCTGGGCTAGAGTGAGTTAATGCTCAGGGGAATGAAAAACAACATGAGCTTTCCAAAGCTGGGTAGAGCCAAGATTTGTTGCTCTTTTTACCACTTTGAAGAATGTAAACTGTCTCTAGGGTAGACTGCTATGGATACAGGAGTGTTTATATATATCTGTGCATAGGATCATGATCTGGCCCTGAAGTAGGTATAAAAAAGGTTTTAACACTGCATCGATACAAGGAGTAGATTTGTGGAAGAGGGAGGTGTGCATGTGCTTATATGTTTCCACTGCCTTTTATAGCCTAGGAGAGTAATTTGAATAGCATTATTATTCACTGCTGTTCCTTTTAATATTCTGCTGGGGGAAAAAAAAGACAGGCACTGTTTGCTGATAATCTATGGGAAATACGAATAGCGTTTTAAATGTTTTACAGGCTGTACTTGTCTGAAGCGTTTGTCTCTCTTCTGGCAGATTTAGCCCTCTGAGCCCTCCCAAAGAGCTGCAGCTCAGAGCACCCAGCCAGGGCCTGGCTTCCGTGCAAGGGTCCCAGCTGCCCCAGCCACTCCTTCCTGGGCAAAGGGGGCACCCACAGGTTATGCCTGTGTGTATCTGTGTACCTAGAAATCAGTCACCAAGGGGTCTGAACACAGAGCCTCTGTGCTACCTGTAAATGTAGTCTTTGCTGAAGTTTAATTTGTGCTTCTGCTCTGTCACAGATGGTCAAGTACCTGTTACAAACTTTTTGGCCATTATCAGCTGTGTATATAGCAGGAAACACGGCACGTTATTGTGCTTAGAGGTAGATGTCCTATATACAGATCACAAAAGTAGGACTTCATCCTGAAAATCCTTATCCTGTTCAGGAAAGACTTGCTCAACAGTCCTCTTGGTTTCAGCTGGATTGTTTCTATACATATAGATGACACAGAGAGTAGAAATGTGCTTTGTCAGTTTCTGGGCTGAAAACCCCTTTTGTGCAACATAGCTTATGCCCCAATCTTGCTTCTAAAAGGGAATTGGTGTTTTAGCCCTGTGAAGGCAAGCATGCTGGATAGTCTGATCTGTGGAATTTCTCTCACTCATAATAATACCAAGAGAGATGTAAAGTCATGCTCTTTCTGTAAGTGTACCGAAGTAAGACTAAAAATACTGCTATACAAGCACAAACGTACAATTAAATAGCACAGTAGCACACTTAAAGGAATGAAAATATCTTCCTAAGAGCATTGTTAATAACTAACACTGGGATTTTATAAATCTGTAAGAGTCAAAAAGCAAGTGCCTCTGCAAAACACCGGTTTATCAAAATAGACATTTTTTTGTCATAATTGTGTAACATGAGTACCTTGGTATCTGTCAACTCACAGCTTTCTTATTAGTGTACAGACTTGTGCTTTAAAAGCAGTTTTTAACTTTTTCTTTCTGCATTTGAAAATTAGATAAATGTTGCTTATAATCAAAGATAAATTTTCATAGGTGAAAGCACTCTGCCAAATTAAGATGCTTAGTGTCTACTCTGACTTGTGATTTTGTGTAGTTTTTTTTTTTTTCAAAAGGAATCGGTCCACAGCATTTTCTGACTGAATAAATTAAGTATTTTTAAATTTAAAAAAGACAGTTGTTAATGTTTATTCTGAAAAAGAACCTGTGTCGAATGATCCTATTAAGTCAATATTTCACCTGGTTTTGTGCTTAGGTTTCTGTCAATGCTGGAAGAAGAAGTGTACAGCCAGAATTCTCCCATTTGGGATCAAGATTTCATGGTGTCTGGTTCCCAAACTGGCCAGCTGGGAATCCAGACAGGTAATTTGCATTTAGTTACGGGTAAAGAAGGACCTGAATAAAGATAAATCTGTACAACTGCTGATTCTAAAGAATGAGACTTAGATACCCAGCTGTACAAATAGCAGGCTATACCAAAATCAGTCTGCCTTGAGTAAGGCTGTCTGCCCCTGACTCTCTAGTGCTTCCTTGTATAAAGATCCCATTTTGGTGATGAAATACAGATACTTGAAGGTCCCAATGGAGCAGGCTGGGTGCTGAGGTGAACTGTCTGAGTATTCAAGAGACAAAAGTGCACTCAATGCAGGCAAGAGGGAATGGTCAGGAGGTAAATGTCCATGGTGGGTCACCTGCTGGGCAGCAGTCCCCTCACATGAGAACCCATGCCAGTCCTCCAACTCCTAGCGGTAGAGAAGTAGGGACCTTCCAGATCAGATGTCCTACTTCCTTTGCACACATGCATTTGATATTCTTGGGGTTTTTATACCTTTTTCTTGCTTGGTGCCTCATTGGCTATTCTGCAGCTTTACTCACTTTTCCTCATTTATGGTGTTGAGGTGTAAGACATTCCCAGACCTGCAGGGAGACATTGGTAATGGTTTTCTTTCACTTTTGTCTTCTCCTTTCTTGCTCAAAAGTATTTAAAAACCAGTTATGCAGCTCAGGGTCTGACTTTAATTTTCAGGTATTTAATTCAACATTTTGTAAAAATTCAGTATTTTGAAATGGTAGTTGATTATCAGTTGACAAAACCATAATGTCAGCACTTTATCCAATAGTGAATTTCCTAGAGTAGTAGGGAAATTCCACTGTGATACATAGAGGTGCCCTTTTTTTTTCTTTTTGTGAGAAAAGAAGCTCCTTGTCTGCACCATGATCTATTGAATTATGACTTAGCCACAAGTTCATTGCAACTTAAATCATGTTGCTCTCAGAGTTCATTCTATCATGTAAATTTCTGCAGTGCTTCATTTTAACTTGCACTTCTTGGTATGAATATGGCACAAAAGAGCTGTTGCTGGTGATGACACCAGGTAAAGGCACAGAAGGAGAAAGACTGCAGTTGTCCAGGCTGCAAGCTGTCACCTCAGCCCCCCACCTATCTGCCAAAAGTCCTGATGTAAATGAAAACTGGGTAATTTGGGATGACTGTTTTTTAAAAAAGAATACTAGAGAGAGAGATGTTGGTCTGTGGCTAAGTTTCATCCTCTTAACTCGTGGAACAACTTCTCCCTTTATTGAGTTTGATTTATCCAGCCAGTCTTTGAAAACAAAGTGGACAGCTGAAGCTGAATGATATGAGACTTTACTTTTCAGTAGACTCCTACAAAAAGCCTTTTCATGAAGCTAAACACCAACAGGCTTGGCAGGTGTGTGAAGGAAGTTTGTTTTCTTAGCTTATGCTCAACACTGCAGCATAACAGCCTGATATTTGCAGTCTCTTCCATCCAGCAGTAATGCAGTCCCTCATTTGGTAGAAGCTTAGAAGAATATTTTGAGATAAAGCTTTAATGTTTCTGTTTGCAAACTGGTGGCATTGCTGTGTTGCACAGTGTTAGCTGTTGCTTCTCAGGTGGTGGGTGTGAAGCTGGGACCAGCGTTGTGACAGTCTTTAAGTCAGCACCTTAATGGGTTCCATGCTGTGATTTCTTTGTTTGCTTTTATGTCATTACAGTTATCAGCCCTCCTCCTGTTGCAAGATCTGTTTCATACAGTGCAAGTCCTTCATCTCTAGAGCAACCTAACAGTGGGAATATGAGCCCTGCCTGCAAAGTTTCTTCTGCCCTTGATCCAAACCTAGGTAAAGAAGAGGGAGACTTGCTTTTTGGCTTTTGTTAATGTGATCAGTAACTACACTATATGGTTACCATTGCTTTCACTCTGCAATAGTGACCTAAAGTGTTTACTAAAAGACACACACAGTTTTTCTCCACTGTGGTAATGTTTAACTAGCAGAAATGGCAACTGTATTAGAAAAAAAGACATTGGTTTTTTAAATTAAGTTAAAACGGGGCAAGCTCTGCAGGTGTCAGAGGTTGTTGGAAAATACTTTACTTGGAGTACATATATTATGACTCATGAAAAAAAAGGTTTTGTTTAAATAAAGGCAGAGTAAACAGCACCATTGCATATGTTTTTTTTCAGTCTTTCAAGGTACTGAGCCTGCATACATTTGGCAAAGAAAAGAACAAATGCACCAACCAGGTTAAATTTAAAACATGAATGAGGTCAAGTTAAAGGAAAAAAAAAAGACTTGGGGAAAAAAAGTTGTTAAAAGTATAAATTCTCCTAATAAATCCTTTTTCCAGCACTTCAGGATTAATGAGTTTGTCAAGAGAGTTTGTAGGTCAGAGAGATGGTCGTGAGCTCATGTAAAGTAAGTCCTCAAGAAAGCAGAAAAAGCTAAATGAATTTTTAGCTTTGGTGTTCACTATGGCAGAAATTAAGGAGGCCCCTAAACTGCAGCTTTTCTTAAGGGACAAGTTGGGAAATGGTCTTAAAAGTGGAATTGAGTAGAAGATTTTTTTTTAACTGCAGATCAGTAAAATGTGTCTTAAGTAGTCACTAGAAAAACTGGGTTTTTTTGAGAGGGTGAAAATAAATGTGGAATTGACAAACTAATATATTTGTGCAGCTGAGCTATCACTGGAATTGCCCTTGGCACTATAGAACTGAAACACACAGATGTGAAACTAGTTTCTAAGAGGGTTCTAAGAGAATTCAGAAAGCTATCAGTTGTAAGTCTTCTATTTCAGACAATTAGAAGAAACAATAATAAACTGATGAAGAGTGAAATGAATAAGTGTGTAAGTGATGTGATGTGTGGAAATTATGTGTCTTTTCTAGAACTCACAAATTGTAAGTATCTGTGAAGGAAGTGGTGAGCATTTGAAAAGGATTTTGTGTACCTGGATTTCCAGAGAGCTTTTGACAAGTTGCTTAAAAAACCCCCCTTGTTTTAAAATAAGAAATTAGTCCCTTGGGAAATAAGAATGAGGGTCTGTTCACATATGAATAACTGTTTAAAAAGTAAGAAATAAAGAATATGACTAAATAATTTAGACCATGAAGGGAAATTAACAGTAAAATTCTATTGTTAAGAAAACAGTTGTACTTCTTGAACAGTTTGATCCTCATATATTTAGTGCTTTATCTTGTACTTGAGGGAAATCAGTCTGTAGAATATATGTAAAATAGTAGGCATAATGGGCCCTAAACTACCTGGTTGCTTCAAAAAGAAGATCTTAACATTGTTTTGGATTTTCCTTAGAGAAAAAAGAAAAAAATCAAAACCAAACCAACGTATCTCATTGCTAATGACTGATCACAAAGGCAAAATTCTAAAACCTGGCTCTTGACAATGACCAGTAACAGATATTTAGGGAAAAAATAGAGGAATGAGGTAATCATCAAGTGATATTCCTGTTTGTATGCTTGCCTAGTATTTGGCACTTTGCTGCTTGGATAAATCCTGAGCTAGCAGCTGGCTCGGAAAGAATAGAGGAATGAGGTAATCATCAAGTGATATTCCTGTTTGTATGCTTGCCTAGTATTTGGCACTTTGCTGCTTGGATAAATCCTGAGCTAGCAGCTGGCTCAGTCACTGTTATTGTACCCCCTAGTCCTTGATATTCTTTCATTAATTTGTTTAACTAGTTGAATGTTGCTCTGCAGTTAGTAGGGTAGTTAATAATTTATAAATATAGTCTATATTTATTTGGAAACCTCATACGGATTTTCTAAGTCAAATATATAGGACTGTATGTGCTGCTTCATTTACAAAAAAGGATGAAATAAATTTATAATGGATACTTAATTCCAAGGAATCCTAAAATAAGGTTTCATGTTATCCAAAGGTATACACTATAATTCGTATATTAAGCACTGGCCTTCCAAGACAGCAGCCCAGAAATTCACTGCAGAGGATGTTGAAGCAAAGAGAAAAGCAAATATTTTCAAAGTGAATTTATAGTAGTATAGAAGGAGTGGTATATTCATCCTGCTTCATGCTAATAACCCAGCACAAAGACAAAATTGCACCAGTGCAAAGTATTGTTCAGGTTCCATTTCCTTCTCCCTTTCTATGGGAATTAAAAATATATATATCCCCAGACTTAGCATGCAAATTAAAGACTATAACAGAAGTGCTGGGCTTCAGAGTTCTAGTCTGTGACAGTTTGGTTGTTTCCAATTTGTCCTCGTTTTTGGTTTTTTTTTATAGGGGAAAAGAGAAAAAATAATGAACCCTATTCTCTGGAGGATTCAAAAAGACCAAGGGTTGTAGGAGATATTCCTATTGAGTTAATCAATGAAGTAATGTCAACAATTACAGATCCTGCAGCAATGCTCGGGCCAGAGGTGAGAAATATATAGACCTGGTTTGTTTGCAAATGATCTGTTTTCAACAAATATTCCACATGGATAGATCATCATAAGCTACGAGTCAACAGAACTCACCATGCTGTCAGTAAGAAAAATAGAGACTTTCAAAGAGTATGATTAGATGAGCAAAAAATATTGATGAACTGCATCATTACCATGAGAAATAGTTCTACAGGGTTTTTTAATGCATTGTGTTTAGTTTGCAAAGAGACTTGGAAACTAGTGACAGGAAAAAAGTAGATTCCAGGTTATTTTGCGATGTACTTCTGTTGCAGAACATTTCCAGAGTATGCTTTTTATTGTTAATCATAGATGTAGCTCTTAAGACAAGGTAAACGGGGTTCAAATCTTGCAGCAGAATGTAAGATCCACAGTTAAAACCTCTGTCTAGTGCAGAAGGGCTGATTTAAACAGTTACTTGCTCCATCTTCCACAGTTGCTCTTTTTTTCTGCTGGAAGAGAAAAACAAACAAAATTGCAGAATTGTGCCATGTACAGAATTGCAGTGTCTTTTTTTTTGGCTGGCTTTTCCTCCTTCTGTTCCTTTCACTATGTTTTGCCAGCAGCTCTTGTTTGCCAAGGTTTAGCTAGAGACTGCTGAAGCCTTCGAACCACCTACATTTCTTACTCAAACTATAACACTGTGACTGATGGCTCTGTGTATTGCAAATGCTGTGCCAGTCTCGCTGTTGTGGCTGGCAGTGACTTGAAACCCAGCAGCCAAACTTGCTCTAGAAAGTAAACAGTATGTCCATGCAGAGATGTTTTGGCATTGCAAAATGGTCTTGAAAAAGAAGAAGTTAAATAAATTACCTGTGTTAATTTCTTCTCTATTCAAATATGTGGCTGCGATCACTATCTATGTAACAGCAAAATCAGTGGGAATTAAAATGTTCTTTTTAGGCTCTGATGATGGTGGCATTGATAGTGGAAAGCACTACTAAAATGAATATGACTCTGCACCACCTTTAAATATGTGATTTGCACTGTGTGTGGGCAAATACACTACTTTGTGCGAGCTGGCTAGAATGAAGAAAATATGAAGACTTAGTTGCATAGTCTTCAGCTGGATGAGTGCTGTCCCCTAGGGGATTTTGGAACTTGTTGACTCGTAACTATTGCTGTTGTTACCTAATCTTTACCAAAAGATGTTTGAATAAGCCTTTTTACACTGTAGCGTAGACTTATATCCAGCTTATTGGAACGTGTCACTTCAGCTAAAAAGAGGTAAATGTTGGCAGCTCTATTTTTGTAAAATGATGGCTTGGAAAAAAGAGAGAATTTTGTTTGTTCCTCAAGGCTGTTCCACCAGAGGATGTGAAATCTCAAAAATATTGTTTTGTTCCTCTTTCGTGCAACACAGACCAACTTCCTCTCGGCACATTCGGCCCGGGACGAGGCAGCAAGGCTAGAGGAGCGCAGGGGGGTGATTGAATTCCACGTGGTTGGCAACTCCCTGAACCAGAAGCCCAACAAGAAGATCATGATGTGGCTGGTTGGTTTACAGAATGTGTTTTCCCATCAGCTGCCTCGAATGCCGAAGGAGTACATCACGCGCTTGGTCTTTGATCCGTGAGTACTGCTGGAGAGGGTTTTGGTGGGTGAGACTGAGGCAGTCTGGTACTGGTGCAGGCAGCTGTATAGGAAGGGGCCAGCTGAGGTGGCATGGAGGACAGCTCTGCCCCTGATACCCTTTTCCCATCTCTTAAAGCTCCCTTAACTCTCAGCCAATCTAACTGGATTGTACCCACATACCATCTTGGTGGCTGCATTAATGACAAGTGGCTTGTAGTTGTGGGAAGTGGGCCTGCAGGAAAGGCTCTGAGTATCTTGTGCTTTTCAATGTTAGAACTTAAACTGGGAAAGTAATTCTGGTGCATATCAGTGGTTTTCAACCCATGCTAACTTGCAGGCTGCTCCATCCTCTCTCTGCGGAGATTGTGAACCAAATGGCAGCAGAGACTGAAGTTTTTCAATGAGAACAACTTGTAGAATATATAAAGAACAGCAGCATTTAAGTCAGCATGGAGCAAATCTCTCCTAGCCCAAATACATTGCTTTTTGCTTTGTCAGTGCAAGTTTCCGGTCTTGCTTTGGGTGGAACTCTACACCACAGGAACTTGAAAAGATACACGTTGGCTGTGTTGTACATGGACCTTCAGCTACCCTAATGTTCTGACTGAATTGTGCTTCAGCTGCTCACACGTGGAAGGAGGTTCTCCTCAGAAGTGTCTACTCTTCCACCATTAAGTTTCTTATGGAGTCCTGACAGTTCTCTCTCCAAATTTCTTTTGTCTCTTACCTGGTTATCACCCTTAGTGTTTTGGTTTCTGAAATGGCCATCCTTACTGGATCTTATTGCTTAAAAAGCTAAAACATGAGTAAACAAAATTAAAAGCTGAGGCTGCTACATTGCTGCTGTCATTCTACAAATAAAAAGCACCAAAATAAGTACAAGAAAAGGAAGAATACATGAAATGTAGAGAATATCTTTCAACCATGGCATATAAAATATAACTCCTCTTCAGCCCACCCTTTTTTGGAAGAGACTCACTTTTGGCCCCAACCTTCCCGCTAACTCCTGAGATTTTTGTAAATTTGTGGTGCTGTTTATACAGTTTATATGGTAGCAGGTATCGAATAATCTAGAGAACAGGTGCAGTGTAAATCTTTCCAGACCTTAAGGATTACACTGAAATTCTTAATCCTTGATGCAGGAGTTCAGATTGTACCTCATTATGTCTTTTCTAGCAGTGAATGTAAATACAACAGAAATGGATATTTATTCTGGTCTTGATTCCACTAGGAGTGGGTGATTAGCAAGATGAAATATCATTTCTTGCTTCATCAGCTGCATTTGAAACTGATAGCTTAGCTATAGAGAGTGCATGCAAGGAAACTGGAGTCTCTTAGGAAGGACTTGCTGCCCTGTAACTCCATTAATTTCTAATTTAGTCAGGGTAAAATAATCCTGAGAATTGCGCAGTGGCATAAGTGTCAGCAATAGACTCAGTCAAAGGAATACAACTCTTATTTATTGGGCATTACCCTAGTATCTAGGAGTACTTGGCAAGGCCAGGACCTGGCTGCATGAATGATGAATTTTATGGTAAATTCAAAGGGTGTTATTAAAATAGTAACTCCTTTGTAGATACAAGCAGCTAAATTAACAGAGGCATATGCAATTGCATTAACATCATGGAAAGAAGTGAATCAAGTTTCTGAAAAGAGGAAGGTAATGGCACTTTATGTACTATGTACATGAATTAAAGTGACTGTTATTTTTGTCTACTCAGGAAACACAAGACCCTTGCATTAATAAAAGATGGTCGTGTTATTGGTGGTATCTGTTTCCGCATGTTCCCCTCTCAAGGATTTACAGAGATTGTTTTCTGTGCTGTGACTTCCAATGAGCAAGTCAAGGTAAAAATAAATCTCTAATAGAGTTTATTAAATGTATTTGAGGCTCATTCACTACTGCATATGCTCCCAATTTCATTAGTCACATTGAATATGTTGCTGAGTTGCCAAATACAGCTAGAGTTTAAAAGATACAGTGATTCTGAATATAATACACAAAAACTAAACAAATACGCAAATTTAGAATCATCACCGTAAGAGTAGGATTACTGCTAATTAATTAATTAATTAATGTTATCCTAGCACAACAATTATGGCCAGTAGTCTCCCTTTCTTTGACTGTTTACTCCTCTATCTTTGGCAGTTGCCTGCATGTGTAGTGTAACACCTCTTGGTTGACTGAAATAAGTACTGCTTGTGTGTGACAGTAGTTATTGTTCCAACACTTGGTGGTGTTACATTACTTCAATAAGAATTAGATATATTAAAAAAAAATATTTATAGTTTTGCATCTCAAAAAAACCCACATGGCCTATTCTATACACTGATAATTTTGAGTTAATTTCACAAAATGTTCTCCGAGTGTTGAGAATTAGTGTTGAGTTGAAAGCTTAAAGAGAGCACCATGAATACAGGAGATTCCTCCTGCTTTCCTAGTACTACAGGTCGATCTAACTATGATCATTTGGTTCAGACTTTTGCCTTTAGATGGTGCTGCAGCTTTGTTTTTCAGTTGAAACTGTTACAGCAGAGATGTGAGTTAATTCAGAGCTTGTAATAGCGGAACATGCGGAATATTTTGTATCCTGTTTTGAAGTGGAGAGCTCTGGATGTTGAAGGGTAACACAGTGGAATTAAAAGCCTCTGACAACTGTTTGTACTTGGGTTCTATTTTATTTTAATCAAATCTGGTGTTGGAGAGGAACATTTCACTGCTCCTAGCAATAGCCTTTCATAAAAGTATCCAAAGTGTTTTAGCAAGTGCAGACAGTAATGGAATATGCTTAAGTTATCTCTATTCTAAGTTTCACTAATTCATGAAGTATGTTTTCATTCAATAAAACAACCACCTGCATGACACAAGTTAGGCTATGAGGAGTATATTGTGATTCTCTAGCAATAACCTTTCAGAATATAATAGAGCAAAAATATCTGACCTGTCAGAGTGCCTCCTAGGTTGCATATACATACATAAGGCACCATTTCTTCTGTTACCCCTCTTGGTGCCTTACTATATCAGTTCACTATTTCTGAAAATTTGCCTTCCCACATTTCTGTCTGAGTAAGCTGACCCCTAGAGAAGGTAACTGAGAAAAACTAAATGTTCACACGTGGATGAACTGCCTCCTCTTGGCTTAAAGAGCTTCCTCAAATTCAGAAATACTTAATTTTACACACATGAAGTCTTAATTTCCAATATGAGGTCTGAATACAGGATGCTTCAAAGACAACTGGGAAGGAAGGTCTAATGCCCAAATTTTATACCTAGATTGGTAAGATTTTAAGGAAAATGTGTCACTACTACATTTTTTATGTTGAGCTTCACCACTTACCTAACTTGCCTTTATCTGGCTATTTCCATGTTTGAGGCTATTAAATGGTGAATTAAAAAAAAAATTGTATATTTTCTAATTTATTTTTTTGGCTTATGTAGATAAGTAAATATTTCCTCAGTTTTCAAGAACAAAGTACCCCAAACCATCCCATGTATATTTCTTTAAGTGTCCAGTTATTTTCCATGATGTTAAAATTGGAACATATGCAGGAACAGCACATTATTATGGGCTTTTCTGTCTATTTTACGTCTCTTAATTTCACAGCAGAAGGGAAAGACTATAGTTTACTTGGAAATGAATAAACGGAACCTTTTTTCACTTTGGGGTTGAAGGAAAATGGAAATTACTCCTGTGTGCAGTCAGAAAGGCATAGCTATTTAGCGGATTGTGGATTCAGTAATTTTCTGCTGCTTATTATGGTGATAACTATTTCAAAATTCCTTGTTATTCCCTGTGATAAGTTCAGATTCTAAATCCTTGGAGGCGGAGGCTGTTTTCTGCTGCAGGTGCACAGAACAGTAAAATAGATCTCGTCTGAGAATGGGTTCCTCTAGGAGGAGTAATTTCAGTATTCCTACTGCTTTGCAGTTTTGAAGCTACATGGCTAAGAAAGGAGGACCTATTTTTACAATATAAGTAGTTTTGTAATTGTTGAAATATGTGTATATTAATAGTTGATGTGTAACTTAGAAGGAAAAAAATACACCTTGACTTACAACTTCCATGACAATGTACCTCTTTAGAGCTATGCTTTGTCCCTAGAAAGAGTTGAGGTTTTGGTCTTTTTTAGATTAAGTGTGGGTCAAACACTGAAAGCTGTGTTTGTTTGAGTCCCCTCTTGGGTCACAAAGATAGCCTTACAAGGCTGAAAACAGTTGGATCTTGAGTATACCTTGCCAAGTTAGTACCAAGAAAATCTTTAAAACAGGATCTGGAGAAAGGACTACATTTTCAAAAACAGTTTGTAATAACCCTTGAGCCACAGTTACTAATATGTGCAGTCCCCAGTGGCTTTTGAATGGCTTTTTCCTTGTACATTTCATGCAGGGTTACGGAACTCACCTAATGAACCATCTGAAGGAGTACCACATCAAACACAACATTCTCAACTTTCTCACCTATGCAGATGAATATGCTATTGGCTACTTCAAAAAACAAGTAAGTCAATGTAAGAAATGACTTGGTGCAAAAAGTAACATCTCACAGTGATAAACTAAACAACTAGCTATCACAAAGTACTTGGATAAAATGCATACTAGAATTCTATGTGTATATTTTTTTACTTAAAAAATGTGCTCTGTGTTCATCTTGTGTGTTGATACTGACTTACAACACATTTTGCTTTGATGAAATCATCTGAATCTAGGTGTACAGTATAGCCTATAATTTTTCAAGTCTAAAAACCAGTCAAATATGGATTGGCTGCTGCTTCATTCATTCAGTTCTTTCACTGGTTTCTTAAGAAGGACCAGACATACCTGCTGCAGACTAGAACATACCTGCCCTGTGCTCACAGCTCCTACTGATTTGAGGTATGAGGTTCAAGTTCAGGAAAGATTCTGATGTCTAATCTCTCAAATGGATTTGATAGATTAAACAGGTGTCGTATATCTGGTCAGAGGATAGAGTGAAGATGGAGTCAGACTATTCTGAGAGGTGTAAAGCAATAGGACTAGAGGCAGCAGACACAAGTTGAATCATCAGAAACTGCAACTAGATAGAAGGATTTTTATTTTTTTTAACTCCTGTCCTAAATTTGGTGAACTACTGGAAAATGTTGCCCAGAGAGGTTGCGGAAGCTCTGTCCTTGTCAGTTTTCAAGACTGGACATGACCTTGAGCAACCATGAGATGATGAGACCTACTCTGAGCAGGGATGGGGCTAGATGGAACTTCTTAAGTCCCTTCCAAGCTCAACTGTTCTATGAGTCTGTGTATAAACCTGATAACATTCTTCCTTCACAAATTCAAAATGTATGAAAGCTGAGCTTATGGTACTGCAGTCTGTACAGACAGACCCTTTTATATGTGAAATGTCCCTTCCCCAATTTGAAGGTGCTTATTTTCCATGCAAGTCTGAAGCCTCTGATCGTAATTTTTGAGACAGAAATCCTGATTGCGTTCCTCATTTTTGTTGGGGATTCATAGATACCACTGTAATAAAATAATAAAATACAGCCAAAGTGAGAATGCTACAGTGCCTTTTATTGTCTTCGTTGATTCTTTTGTGGGTTTGTTTTTCAATTTTCAACTGTGTAAAGACTGTGGTATAACTCTAGAACCTTTAATAGGCATTATCTTATTTTTTCACTTGAAATACAAAAGTAAAACCAAAAAAGTAATAGTTTATTCTGGCCAAAAAGTTGCTGTCATCTCATTGACTGCAACAGCAACTTTCCTTGACTAATGACTATAGAACTGGCATCCTTTAATATGAAAAAAAAATAATTAAAAAGTCCAGTAGATTTGTTTGTAGTAAAAAATCTTTTCCTTCATCTCTTTATCATCAGTATCTCCCTTCTTTTACTATACATTAAAGCAATTAACTATTTTTGTATCAAGTGACTCATGAAAAGGTGTTAGCAAGGTGTTAGTGGTCTGTAACTGTTTCAATTGTACTGTCTGTATTTAACTTTATTATTAATTTGGTTCTAAATCATTACAACATTTCCGTTAAAACAAGTGTAAATGGAAAATGGCATCCTGACAGCTTGAATTTTTTTCTTCTTCAGGGTTTCTCCAAAGATATTAAAGTACCAAAAGCAAAATATGTTGGCTACATCAAGGATTATGAGGGTGCCACATTAATGGGATGTGAATTAAATCCAAGGATCCCCTACACAGAATTTTCTGTCATCATTAAAAAACAAAAAGAGGTAAAGGCTGAAACGAAACACTGAACATGATAATCTATTCAAATATTTGGAAACAGTTCAGTCAGTGCCAGGCTACCTCTCTTCTTTGCATTGGTGTTTAAAATATTGGAATGTATACTTTTATTATTTAGAATAATGATACAATTCAAGTCCCAGTGCCACAATTTTGAATGCAGTTGAAGCATTCAATTCTACCATACTAACTTTACAATAACAGACTTGTTGAAAAGTACTGACATTTTGAGGAGAATTTCATAGCTTAATTTTTTCATAGATAATAACTAAGTAAAATCTTGTGAGACTGATTTATGTTCTGCAGCTTTCCCATTTTTAATTTTTTTTGTCCCCCCCAGTGACAGTAGTGTTCATGAAGATGACTTTTGAATGGAGTGTTTATACTGCGTGTCCTGTATTTTACTTGAAAGAAAGAGGATTGTTTTTTCTGCTAGTGTTTTAATATACAAATCAGGGGTGGACTGTTAAATTTCAGGCTGTCCCTCTTTGGAGTTTATGTGGGAAGTTCTTTATATGTTCCATAAAATAGGCAGTTTATTAGCAAAATAATTAAGATGTTTCCATTTGTGTTGAAATACCTTCCTGGGTTTTTAAACAAATACAAATTACAAGGATAATGTGTTATTTCAAGGTTGATCAAATCTCATTACTTTGTATTTTATTAAAATGCTTCTCTATGGAATAATAATTTTTCTTCTGGTAGAATTACTTGGCCTGTGCTTTCAGAAAGAAAGACAGTATCTTAGTGTTACACACTTAGTTTACAAGGTTTCTTAACTTCACTCAGGACATCTTTCATATGTCCATACAACATAGATCATAATTTTCCATCTTTCATTTCTGGTGGAATTAACATTTAGTTTGAAAATAGCTGGAATCTATCTGTGGTACTGTTGTACTGTATATCTTAACATTTGTAACCTCTTTTGAAAGTGTTTTTTTTTTTCTTTTCCTCTTCTTTGAGAGAAAATACTATGTTTGAAGGTCCTTAAAAAAAAAAAAAAAGTCCATCTTTTTATTTTCAAAGAAAATAGTCTCTTAAACTGCAGTGATCTTAATGGCTGCACATTTGTTTACTCTATTACGAAGCAAGCCATTTTGAAAATGACATAATCAGGACACACAAAGCTTAAATAAGTGTGTATCAAGAGCACCAAAGAAAATTACTTAGAATTGAGGTAATGAAATTGCAAAGCAGAACAGAAGGTACCCCAGAATTGGGAAAGCCTTTTCTGGCATTTACAAGCAGAGTATCAGTTCCAAAGAGTGGCATCATCCCGACTTCCTGGGCAGAAAATCTTCAGTAAGAGCATCTCTGACTAGTGTCTAAGCAATTCCTACATCTCCTGTGGAGACTTCACAATGAGCAGGTATTTCTACATTTTGGAACATATATGTGCATTGAAACACGTGCATTTAATACATGCCTTGATATTCCTGACCAGCTGGGCTGAAGTGGTTCAGAAGCACTGGCTGTTAGAATTAGACCACTTCCCAAACCTGCTTTCAGGGATTTTCCTTCCCTGCCTCTGCTACCAGCTTCCCGGGAGCTGTGCAGCTCATGGTCAATACAGCAAGCAGTGACTCCTTTTCTCCCAGAGGTGTGCATAAATAGGCTGCTGAGAGACTTGGTAGCATCATCTGCAATATCAGTGTTTGTCCAGGTAGCCTGCCCCTGATACCAGCTTCAGTGGACCTGTAAGGACCATAAGACCAAGGAAGCAAGAGTGTTTATCACGTTTTTGCATTGATCATCTGGGTTGCTTTTGAGCAAAGCAATTAATTATTCTTTGTTTTCTCTGCTGCTTTATTACAGATAATTAAAAAGCTCATAGAAAGGAAACAAGCGCAGATACGAAAAGTTTATCCTGGCCTTTCTTGCTTCAAGGATGGAGTACGGCAGATTCCTATAGAAAGCATTCCTGGAATTAGTATGTATCAACCTCTTTTCAATTAGAATAGAAGCAGGACAGCTCAAGAAAGGTTCAAAACTAGAAATAATAATGTAGTCACTTATTTCTTTTTTTATTAAAATGTATTTGTTTTCATCTGCTGATTTTATTTCTATGAAGATTGTTGTGTTTCCTTTATAATTGCCATCTTTGAGACTTCCCCAAGGCATCCCAGGCTGATCCTCTTTTATGTACATGCATGTAATTTTATTTATATGTGGTCCCTCTGATTTGTATCACAGTATAGTCTGCTATTTCCCTATGGCACCACTGTTAGGCACTTCACTCCTGTATAAGGATGAGTTCTGTGCTAAACATGGATTTGCAGGACAAAATAGAACATGTAGGTATCATCTGGGTTGTTTTTTTTTCAAGTGTGCTTTTCTGCAATTTATTCTCTGTCCCTAAGGAATAAAATTGGATAGCTTTGACATCATTATTCTTTATAGAGATTGTAGTAAAATATGCATTGAATTATTGAAAAAAATGTGTTTTGTGCAGGAATATTTTAGAATCTTTTTAGCAGTCTGGAGGAAGAGGACTGTAGGAAATTGAATGGGGCTGTAGGCAAGATGGTTGTGTTATTTATTAGGAGTAGCTTTTATTAAAACAAACCCATTTTACTGCAGCACTGCTGAAATGGCTTTTCTTTTTAGAGTTGCAGTAACTCACTTAGTGTTTTGACCTACTATAGTTCTGTTGTAATCTCTCATGTTGTTGGTGTACAGGAGAAACTGGCTGGAAACCAAGCGGAAAAGAGAAAGGGTAAGTGCTCACCAAGTAAAGCAGTGAAGCAGTTTTGAGATCCCTTTGGGAAAAGTCTTTTAACAATGTCATTTACTATTTCCTTCCATCCACTGGAAAACAAAGAAATAATCTACAAGGGATTAGTTCTTAAATTGGTTTGGGTTGGGGTGTTCTTTTGGGAGGGGTGAGATGCATGCTGGGCTTTGGTAGCTGTTTGTTTTAAAATTTGTTTCTTCTGTAAGATGCTTGAAACTTTGGAGCTGTTTTTAGATGAGATGCACATCATAGGAATGAAGATGAGGGATTCAAGCTCATCTTTTTGTATTTGTATTTTTTTTCAAGTAAGGAGCCCAAGGATCCAGATCAACTTTACAGCACATTAAAAACCATCCTTCAGCAAGTGAAGGTGAGTGCTAGTTCTACCTTATCTTTTCTAAAGATTTTCAAATAATTTCCAATATAGAGTTTCCATATTAGATACCTTACTTTTTTCTTTACCAAAGAGCCATCAAAGCGCTTGGCCCTTCATGGAACCTGTGAAGAGAACAGAAGCTCCTGGATATTATGAAGTTATAAGGTTTCCCATGGGTAATGCCATTAACATTTTTTAAGTTTAGAGTTTAAGAATCTTTATAGCTGGAGACATAGCAGATACATTGTTATCTGATTGTTTTATGTTAAAAGATAGATACTATTTGCAGCTGAGTAGCTTGCAGCTCTGAAGTGCAAAGAGTACAATGCTGTCATTTTTGACTGCTTCATGACCTCTGTGAAGCATCTATAGTGTATATATGTGGAATCTTAGTATGCCCTAGAGAGCCCTAGTAAGCTGTTAAACTCTGTGTGAGTTGTACAGGTATGTTCTTGTCTGTGGTAAACTGGTCATTGCAGATCCTACTGGTAGGTTAAACAAAATCTCAAGGCAAACTTTCACAAATACCTGAGCATTTCAATTGCTTTGAAAAACAAATCTAAGCTTTATAAATCACATAGATAAAGCTTTTTTGAAAGAACCAGAGTTTTCTAATTAAGTCTTAATTATTTGCTGCAATTTAAGAAAATGCTTAATTCAACTGATGGCTGATTGTAAAGTAACTGTTATATTTTTATTTAGATCTACCAAAGTTGTCCAAGGTGTTTTTTTTAAACTTTACTCATTTTTAGATCTTGCAGCTATTGTTTGTGCAGGATTACTTGTAAAGGGAAGTACACAACTGCAAATCCTGCTTTTCTTTGCTTTTGACTGCTGGATCATATAATTTCAATGATGATTCAGTGCTGTGCTAAACAGATGCTTGTTTTGATTTGTATTATAGCAGCTTTGAATCCTGCTACTCCTTCATTGTTTATGCAATACTGACTCCCATCTTTCTGATTACAGTTTCTCTACCTTTTAATGTTATTACAGAATGAAATGCAAGTTCATTGCAGGCTACTATCAATCAGTTTCTCAGAGAATGAAAGCTTTGTTCATGTAGCTTTGCACAGGCTCCTAGGCTGTGTGTACCAATTTGGCTTAATAATATTTTATACTCAACTTATCATTGTCAAATAGCGAATATATGCATACTTCATAAAATAGCAGCTGGCTCCCTGTATCCCTGACACAAATGTGTTTTCTAGCAATGAAGAAAAAGAATGTTGACACCCTCACGTGGCAGAATTTTTCTGTTTTTCTGGGCAGAGGTTAGATCTAAATGACCGTTTAATCTGCCACAATGGTTACAAAGAATTTACTGCCTGGGTTGGCAATCAGCAAGTAGGAATGTTGTCTGTCCTTTCTGTGTTCAGCTGTATTACAATGGAGGTGGGGGCAGCAGCTTTCATTTTAGGAGGTCTTTGGTTTAGTTTTGCTTTGTTTTTTTCCACCAAGGAACCCAGCACAACTAAACCACGTTTTAGTTCATGATCGATTTCTGCTTTCTTTCTGCTCTCACTGCCATTGTGCCGATACTCTACGAAAATCCCTAAGACATCATTTTGATTTAAAAGAAGCAACGTTATCTTTTCTTATGCTATCACATACAAGATATAACATTTGTCTTTACATTTGCATACAGTTAAATTGTACAATATTTGAGACATATCGCTGTGTGGGGTTTTTTACTACTTTCTGTGGTCAGTTCTCATGTATAAACACTTTTTCCCCCATTTTAAGTGCTCCTTCAATTGCTTGTTTTCAAGAAATAGTGTTTGGTTGTTTTTTGTTTCCTTTTAATCTGCAATTCAAATCCATATGGCCAAGTGACAGATGGAGCTAGACTTTCACTGTAGTTAGAGGAGAACAGTTTAATTGACCCACCAGGCAATGTTTGGTTTAGAGTGAGCTGAACAGCCTTCTCAGTTGGATACTATAATTAGACCATGGATATCTAGTTTAGATGAATGCACCTACATTTCAGACTTAGTAGGGGCTGAATGAGCCTTTGCTTTTGCAAAATACTGTGCAACACTAGTGAATAGCAAGTTTTATGTCACTGGAAGAGGTATTTGAGAGCATCCATCAAACTATTATTTAGTAATTCCGTCTTGTCAATTTGACAAGGGTTTTTCACTGTTTTAGCAAAGGCAAAACTCCCTTAATCAAACAAACAAACAAACAAAAAACCAAAAAGCCCAAACAAAAAAAAAAATACCCAGAGCTGTATTTTTAAATCCTAAATTTTAAGGTTACATTCCTTTGCATTGGAGGTCTTTGGTCTCTGCTTTCCTGACAGTACTTGTTGGCAGCAAGTCTTCACCTCAGCAGTTTCTGTTACGGGTTCACAAAGGTGCTGCTGAAGCCTGGCTCAAGCATTGCTAAAAATACAGTTGTTGGAGTATCTGCGGTGAGAAAAGCCAGGGCATCCAGCACACCTCCCACTGCTTCTGTTCCTGTACTCACTCCTAGAACACTTACAGTGTAGACAAAATTTTTGAGCGCCTGATAAGGAATTATTGAGAAAGCAACTGTGTAGAGAATGCTGAGGTGATTTACATATTTTATGAATGACTGATTTTAGTATAAAGGAAAATGTTTCTCAAAGAATGCTCTGTAAGTAAAAGCTTTACATGATGTGTTCCAAGCAGGAGAGATCTGTTCTCAGGTGACTCTTAAAAAGGGATACATAACTATAAACTTTGAAGATGTAATTAAAATGTATGTAGAGTGCAGAACAAATGTAATCTTTTTCAAAGTTGCAAGTACTGCTTGTAGTATAGATAGATTTCTCCTCTGTGCTGTGTTCACATAGAAGTGAAGATTTTAGGTTAACATATATGCTTTGTGATGTTTGAATTCTTTGCTTATACACTCCTAAGGCCATCTCCAGCAGAGCTGACAGCAGGCTTTGCCTCACAGAGCAGTTAGAGGAGAGTTAGGGACACCTAATACCCACTGAGGACTATGAGAACACAAAAGAATGATGCTTTAGTCTTTTAAAGAAGAAAAAATAAACTCTGCACAAAGCCATTCTTAGAGTGAAACATTGCTTAGCTTCAGGGGCTCAATTGCTGTTGAAGCTAAAAAAGGGATTGTGCCTTAGATGAAGGCAATTAGGAATTCCAAATCCTAGCTTTGCCAGTTGATGTTAAATGGCAGACCTGTGTAAAAGGATATTGCATAGAGAAAGTATCTGAATCAAACGCTGTTAATCTATTTTTCTCCTGTACAGATCTCAAAACAATGAGTGAGCGACTCAAGAATAGGTACTACGTGTCTAAGAAATTATTCATGGCAGACTTGCAGCGGGTCTTTACAAATTGCAGAGAGTACAACCCCCCCGAGAGTGAATACTACAAATGTGCCAATATACTGGAGAAATTCTTCTACACAAAAATTAAAGAAGCTGGATTGATTGACAAGTGACACTGTGTTTTTTACAACCAAACAGTGTGCCTACTTTATGGGCAGGGGAAGCTGTTCTAAGTTGTGGGACTTCAAGGTTTCTAGAAACTTCTGTTTAATACCTAGCACTTTTTAAAAAAACCTTTTAGTTTTGCAAACATGTATTATACTGAGGTTACAAAAATTATTTTATTAAAATGCTTTATAATGTATTTAATTATGGATATTTTTTTTTGTGTGCCCATTACCGTATGTTCATAGTAAATTTATCAACTACAGCCTCAGAAAACCCCACAAAATATGTGGGAAATTGCACATGTTTAGGAATATGAAGATAATTCCTAGACAACAGATGTTACAGGTTACCTAATGCAGTACCTATTTGATAAACTGGGGTTTTTTTTGTTTTTTTTTTCTGGTGTAAAAGAAAACAGTAAAGGAAAACAACAGTTGGGAGGGGGTTCTGAAACACTTTGTTTCTTTATAAAATCTTTTTATAAGATGTTATTTTTTAAAAGAAACACTCAGCTGAGAAGCTGTGAGAGAAGACCAGCCAGTTCTGAAAAAGGACTGCCTGTAATCTTTGGGAGTTGCAAGTTTTTCTATTCATTTTGGGTTTTGATAAATATTTTGCCTGCAAATTGTTATTTCATAACCACTATTTAAAAAAATAAAATAAAATCTGGCTAGATGTGTAATGTCATAGTGACTCAGCTTATGCAGGACATAAGTACCCAAAATAACTTCAGAGAATCTGATTCGCATATACTAGAGAATTTCAGTTGGCTTAGTAGAGTTAAGGTTTTGATGCACTTAATCATCCACCCTATTTACTACTCTTTACTGATAAATTCTTTAGGTTATTCAGCAGAGATAAGACTATTGTATACAGAAGTCAACATATGACAGCTTCTAGCTTACATACTTGCCTCTGTGGTAAACTGGATTTTCTACCGAGCTTTATTGTAAATGCTTATTAACTGTGATTATTTACATCTGGGAACATATTAACATTTTACAACTCATGTTAGTATAACTTTAAATTGAGCACTTACATATATATAATATATTTTGCTGCTTACACTACATATAAGAGGTACACCTGACTTCTTAATGAAGATCAGTCCAGGCCAAAAAGTTGTCACTTGACATTTTCTAATTAAGAGTTTATAACTGTAATTATAATTGCTTTTATGAAAAACAGATTTAACTTTCATTCTTCATGTTTTATATTTACAGATGTTAAACTGGTAAAATTCAGTAGTCATAAGACTGAAAAGACCCCACTCCTGTGTTGTGTCAAAGACTATATTCCTGCAAAATGCCTGTGCAATGTTGAATCAAAAGTCAATTAAGCAAGTATACAGGTCAGGAGCTACCTGCAAGTAGTAAATGTGGTACACAAGGTGTTAAAAATGTTAACACTAGGACTTGCCATAGTGTATGATGAGAGATTAGTCTGACCTACGTTTGAATCTATAACAAAGGTACAGAGAGTATTATTATTTTTAATTAGCCAGTCCTGGATGCTATAATCCTTTTTTGTAGATTGGGCCTACAGATGCACCTGTTGAGCTTGGTATCCTGTGAAATTTTGTTATTTTCAGAGTAGATTTTCTTACCGTCTTTCAATCAGATTGTCTCTTCTATATTGAAACGTTTCTTTTCTAATTTAAGAATTAATATTTTCATAGATACTGTGCAATAAAGTTACAGTAGAATATGTGGTTTTGCAAATGCTTTAACAGCTGATAAACTTTACATTTGTAAAATTAATATATTGTACTGGTACAGAATAGTTTTAAATTATATATGTACAAAACCCTACTTATTTTGGTCTCTTTTCTTCATTAATTAGTTCTTGCACTACAACTGCATACACTGAAGCAGTTTCACAACTGAAACTACAGTGCAGTCAGTGCAGCTTCTGGGTACACTAGGAAATACACAGAAAAGCTTCCAAGCTCCCTGGGAGGATGGTGTGCAAAGCTGTGCTGACAAGTCAGTGTGGAAAGCTGTGACCACTGCAAGTATTCCCAGCTCCATGCCAACTGAACTGTTACTCAACATCTCACACAATTCATAAGTTTTAATTTGTTGCCTGAAAGCATGTTCGTGCTGTTTTCCTACTTTTCTCTGCTAGAACCCTCTATTCACAAGACACAATTATACATAGGAGCGAACTACAGTTCCTTTTAAACCTGTAGGTACCTGCTGTCACCCTGGTGTTACTCAGATGGTACATTTATTTTCTATTCCATAAAAAAAACAAACCTGCACATCTCTTAATACATGGCAGGCAATTGGAGAGTATGAAGAGATTTCTTTTTTTCTTCCCCTTTGTCTTTTGTCACGTCACATGGAAGTTTACTGTTCATAGGATAGCAAATAGGGGTCAAGAGGCTTAGCCTTTTTCTTGGGACACTTCTAGGAGTACCAGCTGAGACACAGACTCCTTCCTGCAGTTGTGATGGAACTGCAGCACTTCAAGTTTACTCAGTCCAAAAAAATCCAACAAAACCCAGACCCACCACATCTGCTTTGGTCTCCTCCCTGATAAAGAGCTGTTACAGGTTTGTTTGCTGAAAGAACAGCTGAAGTTAAATCATTCCATGTAAGTTCCTATAGTACTAAAGTTTCAGATTGGAGATGGTAACACCCAGAGCTAGAATGTTAGGGTCCCAAAGGGAGGTTAAGCTTCAATTCCAACATCCAAAGGCTGCGCTTTGAACAAATATTTTCACTGAGGTTATATCACTGGGGAATCATATAACAAGTTAGCAATAAAAACAGTATTTAACACTACACATTTTTATTACAGAGATCTTACATCTATTGAAGACAAGAAATCTTGCAAGACAAGAAACCTGTATTTTTGTACTTTATTATTTTGAATGTAGCTTTCCTCTTTGTATTCACATACCAACTAAAACGTCTTAAATGTTTCTCAAGCAAAAAAAAACACCTAGTTTGAAATCTTGCTTGATGGTTCGTAAGGGAGTGTTCTAGGATGTTGCCTATTTGATACCAAATGGTACCAATGCAGATCTGGCAGATCTCCCTCTGGTAAAGGCACTTGCAAAGCAGGGCCAAAATTATGAATTCCTATAATAGAAGTTTACTTTATACTCCACCAAAGCAGAGCGCTTTTCACAACCTTCACAAATAGGAACGAAGCAAATTTTAAGTTAATTAAGTTTAGCTTGCATTCATAGCAGTACCAACCAACCAACCCTATTTGTAACTTTTGAAAGCTCCAGCTCTGTAATCAACTCACAGCTGGCATTTTTGCTTCTAAACAACACTTATGCTGCATAAAAAGGGGAAGGAGTTCACTGACTTGCAGTATGCCCACCTGGCACTGCTACTCTTGAAGCTACTATGGAAACTCAGCAAAAAAACACACCAGCCAACTCTGAGCTCTTTCTGAATACTAAGACATTTATTGAGCTTCAATATGAAACTACAACCGGTACATAAACAAAATCTGTATAAACATTATTATTAAAAAAAAACAACAACTACCCAAAAAAGCATTTGATCCTAAGTGCCTACAGTTTATCTGTGTCAACCATTGTGAGATCAAGCAGGGTACAAGTCATAAAATTGCATTCACTATCTTTTCCATCAGATACTTCTAATATATTCACAGATCCATGATGTAAGAATGCCTCCTCTCAAAAGAGTTTGAATGTCTTCACCTTAGTTACAAAATTAGTCTTGTTGTCTTCTAGATCATTAAGAACAATTCACTGGAATAAAAATAAAACCCCTTAATTTTATAAAAATAAAACCCCTTAATTTTATATCTTTAACATTAGACACACGGAAATAGTTGCATTTGTCTTTGTATATTGTACATCAATAACATACTGGATTTCAGTCCTCATGGAGTTCTGCTGTTGTGACCGAAAATCTTAACGGCAACCAACAAACTTCTCATTATATTTTGAAAGAACTTCTTTCTGAATAGAACGGCGTTTAGCATCTTTCTTCTGCTTGTAAATTGGAGAATTCAGAAAATTTGTATCTGTAAATGGATCTCCTCTCCTGAGTTTCCTGTACAAAAAAAAAAAAAAGGTAGCAAAATCAAGTTTGGTTCCCCACCTCACTTAAAACATTAACTTTCTGCTAGGAAGTTTAATTTCACATGAACTAGTTTGTATTCCTAACATCAGACCTCTCTTTGAAGGTTTTGTTAAGAACTTCTTTCCAGTATTTAAGTAATCTCCTCACATCCTCCATTTGATGGTATATCCTACACTTTGTGTCAAAGTGGGAAGTAAGACACCTACCCTGAAATACTTGGTTCCTTATAGCTCACAGTGATAGTACAGCTTCGCTTGCGTTTTGGAGATGGTGGTTGCTCAGCTTCTGGGACAACAGATGCGTTCCTGGTGCTGGCAAGCAAGGAAGTGGTATTGGTAACATCACAAAGGTGACCACGAGATGGCTCAGAAGGCTGCCCTGGGAAAAAAAACAAGCACACTTAAGACAATGCAAGCAAGCTAGACTGAAAAAAACCCAAACAAACCAAGAGTGCCTGTGAATATACCAGATGTGAAATAATTAACTTCATCTTTCCACTTAAATGTGTAAGAGGATCAACAAATACTCAGTACTTTAATTTGGAAATTTACTCTAAAAAACACTAAGCGGTGCCAGGCAAAGGGCAATTTGATATTCTGCTTCTCTCTCAATTTAAACTTTTTCTCCACTTTTTCCTCAGCTTTAATACATATTTAAAACACATCTAAAACACAGTATTCTATGCTGACCAGTTTCTTAAAACATTTTTAATTCTATTTTCTGCTGACAAAAAAAGAGGCAGACAAGAACTAACCTTATTTATTTTTATGACATTATTTTCTTTGTATTTATTTTTTAAAAAGCTACAATAAAAAGTCTAATTCCCTTGAAAAATGTTGTCTCTCAATAAATCAAAACCAATTAAAGAACACTTTCTGCACTTACTAATGGAATTGTCACTTGATGTATTGCTTTCAGTCTCTTTTTCATCATGGAGTTTCAGCTCACGCTGTGCCAAACATCTTTTAGACCTCGGCCTTGCATGGACTGGTGATGCAACTCCATTGTCCACTGAACTTCTCCTTTTCTTTGATTTACTCTTATAAGGTTCATAAAGGCTATCATCTGAATCTTCTTTAGTATCACTTGACTCAGTGGTATCAGTTTCAGTTAAGTCTTCTTTGTCATGCAAAGCAGTATCTGTGTCATTCACCTTCTTTTGTCGAAAAGGTGTAAGATGGACAGACTCTTCAAAGTTAAAGTCATAAGCATCGCTGGAGCCACCCAAGAAATCCATCTTTTCTTTGGAAGCCTCTTTATCCTGTCCTTTTTTTGGTCTTTGTTTGGAATTTTTTTTAGGCCATTCCAGTTTTCCCTTCTGATGCTTCTTTTTGCTTGCTTGAGAGTGTTCTCTGCTTTTACACGCATGTTGTTTAAGAGCAGAATTACTGTCCAAGCTGAACTGTGCAGTTTCACAATCTATCTTTCTCAAAACCACCTCTAAACGTACTTTGTTTCCATTCAATGGAGAAATACCTGAATTTATGTTTTCTACAGTACACTTCTGTAGACTTTCCTCAAGTCTAATTTCATCGTTTTCAGAAAGCTGTCTTGTTGAATCAGGAGCTTCTAAGCAGTCCAAGAAACCACTGCAAAGTACATCACAGTTCCTCATCTTTGACTGGTGACGCCTGGTGGACACATCTTTTGGTACCATGTTACCAAATCCATTCTCTCCAATTAAAGAATCAGTTTTCAGCTCTGACCTCAGGCTGCTCAGATGAGAATCAGAGGTTTGCCCTTGTAATTGAAAAGGAAAAAAGAATATTAAAACTAAATAGTAACAACCGAGAAAGGTTTTGTCCGAATTCTGAACCTGACGAAAATTAAGTCTGAATTTTCCACACAGATGTGTATAAACCAGTATTTGGCAATCAAGATAAGCTCTGTTTAATACAGCTTACAGACAGAAAGCAGTTCAGTACACTACATTACTATTTTCCTCTAAACTGTTTGGAAAGGTTACCTACAGGCCAATAATTTTTCTGAGTATTTTACTAACATCTGTTGATTTTATAAGTGATAATGCATGAGTAAAGGTCACTTCATATGTTGAACTGGTTTGGTATAACATGAAACTAGATTACAGGTATATAGAAAACATTTTCAAATTCCTCCCCCATTTTGCTAGGCTTCTTCATTAAAAAAGTTTACCAGTTGCCAACATTAATATCTAACCTTTATGATAATAAGGGGAAAATCACTTGACAGTTACTTCAAAAGCAGTAATTACATTTTAAACTTACACATCTTTTTCCTGATTCAGAACAGAGCAATGTCTGGTACTTTGATTTAGTTACCTTTGTCTGGAACTGTTTTCATTAAGTAAATGGCATTGTCAGATTCCTCACAGGTCTCTGACATAGAATGAACAAGTTCATTTCTGTCACACTCAGCCTCCATCCCACTTGGGTGTACTTGATCATGTCCATCAGCACCTTGTAGAGGTCCTCTAGAGTAAACACCAAAGATAGTATTTATTGAATAGCCGTACAATTTATGACAATAAATGACTTCATTACCTTGGATTTTTTCCCTTTTTCCAGTCATAAAATTAAGCTTACGGTAAGAGAATTTTCAGATATAAACGGGCATTAATAAAAGATACTTACACCAAATGTATTTGTCCTGTGACACTGGAACTGTTTTCAAGAACTGAAGAAAGCACACTCTGTCAACAAAATAAATTGTACTGTGACTGAATAGCTGAAACAAGCCTGTACCATATACAAATTTTAGCAAGTCACCCACAAGAAGGGCCAAAGAGGCCCTTGACTCTCTTTCTGTCTGGCTAACAGAAAGTGCTGTGGGATCTCACATATCTGCTCCTGCAAGTGAGCACATTTGTCACCAGCACAATCGTACGGAGAGTGGACAGGGGAGGGAACTGTGAGGATGGTACAGGGATCAAGACACAAACCCAAAGAAAATCAGGGTGCCCTTACTACCTTGTAGCAGAGCCTCAGTCCCGCTAACTACTTACTACACAGTGGGACCCCATGTCCTGCTGGGAACTGCAGAACTAGTCATACCTCCAAACTAAGGCTTAAATCTCAATTAATGGAAATTCAGCTTCCCAGGAGGAAAAGGTACTTACTGTGGAACACAAATTCTTTGCTGGGCCAAGGAGATCAATTGAGTTCAGTAGATTCTGATGAACTTTTGACATAATCTCATTCAAAGCTGAGAGTCTACTCTAATGGACAAAAGGAAAACAACACTGTTGCTGTTATACTAGAGTATCCCTGATCAGTGTAATAACTTCTACACCAGTATTATGAGATTAGTAAATCCGAAGATGCCTGTGTCAGGTATCTTCAATCAAGATAAAATAAAAATCACAGAAGGTAGATTTTAATAAAATAAGAGTAACCATAAAAAAACCAAACACCAACTTGACCAGGTTAGGTGAAAATATGAGAAAGTTTGTTCTGAACATTGAGGATTTTTTTTAATGAAACATGGATAATCCTAAAGATATCAGTGGATTAGTGCAGATTCTAATGTTCAGCTCCACTAAATCAAAGTTATTATTAAAAATACCTCGACGTGTTCTTGTGCTTGCTTGAAACCAACATTTCTTTTCATGTCAAGCATCTGAACCTTCAGATTGTGATAATCTTTCCTTAACTGAAGAATGGTATCCTGGGCATCTTTCAGTTTGAGCTTTTCTTCTTGTAAAGCCTGAGCTAGAGCTCTGTTGTTTGCCTGGATGCTCTTCATTTGCATTGAGCTCTTGGCTACAATTGAAAAGTGAGTATTTCAAACTTGGTTTCAAAAAAACAGCTATGAAAATTATTAAGATATTTAAGCAGCTTACCTGCTCTTTTGCACTGAACAGTGGAGATCTGGCTAGTTTTACCCAGCCTTATCCATTTCTGATTTCTTTTTTCTTTCATTCGTTCCTTTATAGCACTCAAACTGTCTTTGAAGGGCTTTTTCAAGTATTGAGCCATCTTCTACCTTTAAATATATAAAGGGCAAAGCACTTATAAAGATGGCATTGCACAGTGCTCCCGAGGGCCAAAAAAGGAACAGAGCAACAAGAAATACATTTTTAAGTTGCATATGCATATGTAGAAGAGACCCACAAAAAGACACTCGGCTACAGCCATTTCCAAATCTGTTTGCAACGCGGCTGCCGTCACCAGTGCCGGTACCTGAGCTGCAAAACGCAGCGCCCGCTGCAAAGACCAGGCCGAGGCCTGGGAACACCCGCGTCGGGGCTGCACGGCGGGCAGCGCAGAGGAGTCGGGGGGTGCCCCTAAGAAATCCTAAGCGGGCCCCCGGCTCCTCCAACACCGAAGGAAGGCCTTCGGTGAACGACACGCCCCCCTCCCCTCACCCGTCTTCCCAGCACTGTCCCCCTCTCCCT